GCCTGGATGTGTGTATATATATATACATATATGTATGTGCGGGTATAATATAATATATATATATACACACATACACACATCTGTGTATTATGTATTACATACGTATGTGCATATATATGTATGTATTATTTTTAGTATTGTATTATTGCTTATTATTGTTTATATTTGCATTATGTATGCATGTACATATGTAAATACGTATAATCATATGTATCATGTGTACATATATATATGTGTGTGTGTTTTGCAATCTCAAATGTCTAGGGCCGGGTCACTACCCCCGCCTGCAACAAAAAACGGTTTTACCAGCAAACCAAAGATAGCTTCATCCATCATCCAACAATGCGGAACACTCCAGCAAAATTTCATCTGCCACTTCAAACAAAAACAGTGGTCAAGTCCTAAATCATTCACCATCAAGAAATTTCAGCTGGAGGTGGTTGGCTGCTGAGTTGTGATAACTGGCCTCATCCACCAGAAAATGTGACTGATCCAGTTCTCCCTCTTGATAGGCAGGATAGACAGGTAAGATACGACGAGAAGAGAAGGTGAGACATAATAAAAATTGATAGATAAACAAAAACGTAAATACACAGATAGGTGGATAGTTAGATAGATGTATATATATAGATAAGATAAGAAAAGAATAAGATAAGATAAGATAATCAAAGGAAGTTTGAAGGAACTTCCGTGTTACGGATATTTATGATTGACAAGAATGAAAGAATGAAGGAATGAATTGAATTGAACTGAATTGAATTGAGTTGAATTGAATTGAACTGAATTGAACTGAATTGAATTGAATTGAATGAATTGACTTGAATTAATTTGAACTGACTTGAATTGAATTGAATGAACTGAATTGAATTGAACTGAATTGAATTGAATTGAACTGAGTTGAATTGAACTGAACTGAATGGAATTCGCATTAGATGACTGAATTATGAAAAGGAAGTCTCGAACGAAACTTTCGCTTCCACATCTTCAACTTTCACTTTTGAAAGGAGGTCTCGCACGAAAGCTTTGTTTTCACATCTTCCACTTTGAGGTTTTGGGGGAACACTCGCACAAAAGCTTCGTTTCCACATCTTCCACTTTCACTTTTGGAGGGAGAGGTCTCGCACGAAAGCTTCGTTTTCGCATCTTCCACTTTCACTTTTTGAGGGAGGTCTCGCACGAAAGCTTCGTTTTGACATCTTCAACTTTCACTTTTTGAGGGAGGTCTCGCACGAAAGCTTCGTTCTCACATCTTTAACTTTCACTTTTTGAAGGAAGTCTCGCACAAAAGCTTTGTTTTCACATCTTCAACTTTCACTTTTCGAGGGAGGTCTCGCACGAAAGCTTCGCTTTCGCATCTTCCACTATCACTTTTTGAGGGATGTCTCGCACGAAAGCTTCGTTCTCACATCTTCCACTTTCACTTTTTGAGGGAGGTCTTGCACGAAAGCTTCGTTTTCACATCTTCAACTTTCACTTTTTGAGGGAAATCTCGCACGAAATGTGTTTTTGCGTGTTAGCGGATGCACGAAATGCTATGTTTTGCAGGACAAAACGAGTCCCGGAAGATGGATGGGGAAGCTTGTCCGGCGGACGGTTTCGGAACACTTTCATTTGAACCGGGATCATGCTCGGATCGGCGGCGCATTGGAAATGCCAGTTTAGGCTTCATTTTCACAATTTGAACTTTCAAAATTTGAAGGAGGTCTCGCACGAAAGCTTCGTTTTGACATCTTCAACTTTCACTTTTTGAGGGAGGTCTCGCACGAAAGCTTCGTTTTCGCATCTTCCACTTTCACTTTTTGAGGGAGGTCTCGCACGAAAGCTTCGTTCTCACATCTTCCACTGTCACTTTTTGAGGGAGGTCTCGCACGAAAGCTTCGTTTTCGCATCTTCCACTTTCACTTGAGGGAAGTCTCGCACAAAAGCTTCGTTCTCACATCTTCAACTGTCGCTTTTTGAGGGAGATCTCGCACGAAAGCTTTGTTTTCACATCTTCAACTTTCACTTTTTGAGGGATGTCTCGCACGAAAGCTTCGTTTTCGCATCTTCCACTTTCACTTTTTGAGGGAGGTCTTGCACGAAAGCTTTGCTTTCACATCTTCAACTTTCACTTTTTGAGGGAAATCTCGCACGAAATGCGTTTGTGAGAGTTAGCGGATGCGCGAAATGCTTTGGTTTGCAGGACAAAACGAGTCCCGGAAGATGGATGGGGAAGCTTGTCCGGCGGATGGTTTCGGAACACGTTCGTTTGAACCCGGATCATGCTCGGATCGGCCGCGCATTGGAACTGCCAGTTTAGGCTTCATTTTCAAATTTTGAGCTTTAAGGAGTCTCGCACGAAAGCTTCGTTTTCACATCTTCAACTTTCACTTTTGGAGGGAGAGGTCTCGCACGAAAGCTTCGTTCTCACATGTTTAACTTTCACTTTTTGAGGGAGGTCTTGCACGAAAGCTTCGGTTTCACATCTTCAACATTCACTTTTTGAGGGAGGTCTCGCACGAAAGCTTCGTTTTCACATCTTCAACTTTTACTTTGTGAGGGTAGTCGCGCATTGTAGTGGCTGCGTCAAGGTTGCTTGGCGCGGCGGCTGTGTGCGTAATTCTTTTGTCTTTTGCAGGTGGACATCGTAAATCGTATTGGAGTGGCTGCATCAAGGCTGCGATAACGATTGTTCAGCAGATTTTCTCAATTTTGGCGCTGCTAGATTTTCTTTTTAAATTCCTTGTAAAAAGTGCTTCAAAATCGTCTTTTTCCCCACCTGCCAGGTGAGGGTTGTTAGATTTTATCAGAGCTGTTCTCCTCCTCCTCCTCCGCCTCCTCCGCCTCCTCTGCCTCCTCCGCCTCAGATCCCAGTGGGCACAGCCGGACCTCCACCGCGAGCTCCAGATCCCAGTGGGCACTGCCGGACCTCAACCGCGACCGCGAGCTCCAGATCCCAGTGGGCACTGCCGGACCTGAACCGCGAGCTCCAGATCCCAGTGGGCACTGCCGGACCTCAACGGCCAGGTAGAATGCCGGAAGATATGCCAGATAGAATGCCAGAAGATATGTCAGATAGAATGCCAGAAGATATGCCAGATAGAATGCCAGAAGATTTGCCAGATAGAATGCCAGAAGATATGCCAGAACATATGCCAGAAGATATGCCAGATAGAATGCCAGAAGATATGTCAGATAGAATGCCAGAAGATTTGCCAGATAGAATGCCAAAAGATATGCCAGAACATATGCCAGAAGATATGCCAGATAGAATGCCAGATAGAACGGCAGAAGATATGTCAGATAGAATGCCAGAAGATTTGCCAGTAAGAAAATGTATAAATGTCATGGTGGGGATCACACGAAGTAAAGTATTTTTTTTGCTTTGGCGTCGAGATCCAGTTTTGGAGCTGCAATTTCTGACGCCGTTGCGCGTAGTTCTATTGTGTGTCGCAACTCAGTCTTTGCAAATCGCATTGTGATGGCTGCGTCAAGGTTGCTTGGCGCCGCGGCTGCTTGCGTAATACTATTGTCTTTTGCAGCTGGACATCGCACATCGTATTGGAGTGGCTGCATCAAGGCTGCGATAGTGATTTGTCAGCTGATTTTCTGAGTTTAAAAGCTTGCTGTGTGTAAAAGCTTCTGTGTAAAAGCTTCTCAGTGTAAATGCTTCTCTGTGAAGAAGCCTCTCTGTGTAAAAGCTTCTGTGTGTAAAAGCTTCTCTGTGTCTGGCCTTCTCTGTGTGAAAGCTTTCTGTGTGCAAAAGCTTTTCTGTGTAAAAGCTGGCTGTGTGTGAAAGTTTGCTGTGTAAAAGCTTGCTTTGTGTAAAAGTTTCTCTGTGTACAAGCTTGCTCCCTGTAAAACCTTCTGTGTGCAAAAGCTTGTCTGTTTAAATGCCTCTCTGTAAAAGTTTGCTGTGTGTAAAAGCTTCTGTGTGCAAAGCTTCTCTGTGTAAAAGCTTCTCTCTGTAAAAGTTTGCTGTGTGTAAATGCTTCTGTGTGTAAAAGCTTCTCTGTGTAAATGCGTCTCTGTGTAAAAGCTTCTCTGTGTAAAAGCTTGCTGTGTGTAAAAGCTTCTCTGTGTAAGAGCTTGCTGTGTGTAAAAGCTTCTCTGTGTCAAATCTTCTCTGCGGAAAGCGTAAGGGTTGCTTGCTTTGGCGCCGAGATCCGTTTTTGGAGCAGGTTTTGGGCCAGAGAAAAGGTGAGATGATGTGAGAATGCGGTGAGAAGAGCTCAGAAGATGTGAGAAGATGAGAGAAGAGATGAGAACACGTAAGATGAGCTTACATGAGCTGCAGAGAGCTGAGAAGAGTTGAGAAGAGCTGTGAAAATCTGAAAAGCTGAGATAAGCTGAGATGAGATGAGAACAGGTGTGATCACCTGAGAAGAGCTGAGAAAGGGAGAGAAGACATCAGATGGGATGAGATGAGATGAGGTGAAACAAACTCAGAAGACATGAGATGGGTTGAGGTGAGATGAGATGACACAGACTGCGGTGAGAGGGATGCAATGAGCAATTTCCAAGAGAAGCTGCGATGCGACGAGATCAGATGAAATGAGAAAAGATTCAACATTCGAAAGACATGGCATCAGATTGACAAGTCAAGAGCTTGCTGCTGCGATGCACAGAAGGCTTGCCTGTCACCTATAGGCACAGCCTTTGTTCCGCTCTATAGGCTATAAGCGTTTCAAATTTGAAACTTCCGCCCCCGGCTTGCCCGGGTACTACTTGGATAAGATTAGATTGGATTAGACAGATTGGATTGGATTGGATTAGATTGGTAGATTAGTAGATCGATAGATAGAAAGACAGATAGATTGATTGATAGCTAGATAGCTAGATAGCTAGATAGCTAGATAGCTAGATAGCTAGATAGCTAGATAGCCAGATAGCCAGATAGGTAGATAGGTAGATAATGTAGATAATATAGATAATATAGATAATATAGATGTTGACATTGGTATCATTGGTGGTGATGCCATGACCAGCCTTAGATACCCCAAAACTCAAACACTCATCTCTCAGAGGGATACAGTAGTAGACTCCCAACTTTTCACCAAATTCAAGCCTTGAACCCTTGGCAGCACCTTGGAAGAGGAGGTGCCACCCATCCCCCGCACCTCATCCACAACTCCAAGATCAGAGAAGTAGAAGAGAAGAACTTCTTCAACTTCACCGGCAGCTCCTCGCACCGCCAGCTGTTGATTAGGTACCCCCCCACAAGGGCCTTTTTTTGTGCCATGTTTAACCCCCCTATCAACCGTTAGATTTTAATGATATTCAATGGTGATATCCCCAAAATGGGCCGATTGAATACTGCAGGGTTTCTGGCACTGTCGTATCATTAGAGGGAAGGCATTAGTTATGAATCCAAAGATTTCTTCGGCATTGGAACAGACCCATCAATCGGGATTGTGTCTTCCTCCCACTTGTCGCTCCACATCCCAGGATTTTTTTCGCTAACGAAGCGAGGTGTTGTTGTTTACAAAACCAGCTGTCCGTACAAGGTGAACATAGCAGATTCCAACGGTAAACACTGGAGCAGGACCAGGACCCAAAATGAAACACAAGAAAGAACCCCACAGCAACGCACACAGATGAATGACAACTTATCCGTTCCAGCAATCTACAAACAGTAATTCGAACTACCCTTCTGAATTTGCTTGGTAAGTAATTAATCTACATTCCCGGTTGTTTGGGATTGTCTGAAAATAGGACACCTCTAAATCTAGTGGTTAATCCTTGCGTTATGCATTTTTTGCAGGTGTACATTTCGATGTTCAGACACACCCAACTAGCATATGTTTGGTGAATGTTGCTGATATATCTCAGATCATCCCATATGATACCCCCAGATTGCTGTAAAGAACATTTCCACGGGGGTCCTATCCCACATTAATGCCACAGTTCTATAGAAGTCACACCCCATTGATATCCTACAAAAACCACCCGTTTTAAGGGGGGGACGTACCCAAAATGTAAGCTACATTTTTCAAGGTGTTTTTGAGGGGGACTTTAAAATTGTAAGCTTACATTTTGAAGGTATTTTGAAGACCCTCCCCACAAAAATCCTGGGGGACGTTCAGCGACCAATCTTACATTTACGCGGGTGGGGCAAGAAATGTATCTTACATTTTGGTATGGTCCCCCCTCAAAAGCAACCTTAAAGGGGTGGTGATATCCTATACATTGATGGAAGTTTATCCGCCTTGTATCCCCGCTGGATCCCCATTTACAAATCATGTTCTCAAAAAGAAGCAAGTAAAATTGCCATTCAACTCCAATTTATCTTGGTCATTCAAATCCCCATTTCTGATGGCATCTCCTCCCATGTTCCATCATGTTCATAAAGATCCGCCATCTTCATAAGATCACAAGAAAAAAAGCCAACAAAAAAAAAAGAAACGGCGGTGCGCCTGGCAGGGCGGCCTTCTTGATGTACACCTGACTCTCCACCAGCTCACCAGTCTTGCGGCGGAGGCTCACTTGTACACCTCGGAACATCCTCATGCCCTGCCTCAGCTGAAAATTTAGATGGGCTGTGGCACGTTGGAACAAATGTAGACCCTCCGTTCATCAAACGTCGCAATTGAAAAATTATCTATCTCTATATATATATATATATACATATGATGTTCCCAGCTATAAACCTCCATTTATAGTGGATTTTCCATTGCCAAATTTGATTGCCAGAGGGTAATCCCATCCCCATTCATATTACTTAAAGCCCTATTGTTAGTAAATGGTACCTAAATTGATGTTTTTGCCCCCTAAATCCAGCATGGCTTCTGGGGTGTTTAACAAGAATTTGGGAACAACATATTTCTGAAGATATAATGTCCGAAGATATTTGGGAATTTCTGACATGCTTGGGGGCACTTGGGAATTTGGGGAAAAAAACGATTAAAAAACGGTGGTACAACAATGATAACAAGTTCAATAGTAATAGACATAGTTTAAATCCCATAAGTACGGATCACATGTTCCATGTTCTATCAGGATGAACTCCCCGGTTGTCGGCGACCTCCAACATTGAACAGATCAACGGCTTATGATGGGCGAATCAAAAAACACCACTGAAACCGGGCGAATTGGTCACCGACCTCGTAGGGGTTGAATCCAAGAGTTCTGAAGGTTTATGGGAATGTTCATACATATATTGGGAATACTTGGGAAACTGGCGCAAGATATTTGGGAATGTCTGGTGACATTTTGGAATATCATCAATAGTAGAAGATTTTTGGGGATAAGTTAGAACTATTTTGGGGTACTTGGCCATATTCCGATATGTCCAATCTTTTCCCAAACTAGTGGAGTTCGAATTGGACAACTGAGCCATTCAAAATACCCCCTATCCCATCTCATAAAATACTGCTTGAAGCTCGTTTCCCGTTTGTCATAATCATAACTCATTGGTGCTTTCAACCGCCCTGAAAAATATGAGTTCGTCAGATTGGATCATCATCCCAACGGAAAAAAAATCTTCCAAACCACCAACCAGATAAATGTGCGACCGGAACTGGTCGTATTTCATCCCAACAACGACCGTTTCAAATCATGAAAAATCCACCAATCCGAAGTCCGACCGCGTCGGGTCCAGGCGACTCCACCATGTTCAAATAGATCTCCAACTGAGGATCCACCATCCCGGAGATGGACAACAACCTCAAGATACTTTTGCCTCGCGAACGTCGCGAACGTCGCTGGGAATTGCGAAGCGCTTGGGAAAATCTGAACACCGGAAACCCATGGGTTTCTCCGTATCTTTTTTTGGGGGGTGTTCTTGTAGATCTTCAAACCCATTCTGGCATGGTTTCAAATAGAATCACTGGAGTTATATATATTATAAATATATATATATATGGGTGTTGCCCTAGAATAAAGATGACCAGAAATCACCCAAAATTGCAAGTAATGTTAAACCAACCATGGGTTTAGCATATCCCATTTCGGGAAATACATCCACTACCATATCTATGTATACATTGATGTATAATTGTGTATAATTATATATATATATATACAATTTAAGCATGTGGGTAGTAATTATATGCCTGGAATGCATCCCATTCTCTCCCAGGTGTGCCAGGGGTTCAAAGTCTAGGCCCCAAAATGGTTGGCCAAAAAAAACACATTTGTTCATGGTTCATGTTTGTGCAGACGGATCTTTTACCGTCCCACAAAAGTGAGTTTGGGGGTGGGGTGGGGTGGGGTATGTTCATACGTCACCAACTTTAACATCACATCTAGTTGTCTTAGACGATACGTCAGGGGTACGTTGGGGGTGGGTGAAAAAATGTAAAAAAAAAAAACAGTTCATAGAAGTTTTTTAATTTCACAATCTTGCTTACTACATTTAACATATAACCGCACGGTTTATGTTCTTGATATGTGCCTTTCATGCCAGTATTAGAGTTAGTGGTTAGACATTCAAAATCACCATAGATTACAAAAGGACAAGGCAATTTAGTATTATGCTTTTCAAATTCTATATAAGTGTCTTTATCAGGCATCTTTGTTTGTTGTCCTTCTGATGCCATACATCCCTTTTCAAGATGGTTCTTATATGCCTTTTCTGTTGAGAAAGGATTTAAACAATGATGGCAATAATGTTTTTTACTATCATCCTTGTTGCTTTGACAGTTTAATAATCTGCTTTTGTTCCTAACCAAGGCGTAGTGATAATTATTGTCTTCATCATAGACCTTTAACAAATCAATCTCATACTTAGCATTTCTATTTTTAGTGCCTCTATGTAATATGATTTTTTTTATCATTTAAGCAGTCATCAGGTTCAAAAACATTTATTGACACTAATTTATTGTTCTCTTCAAATCTGTCTATGTCCCTATTACCAGTCGGAAAATTTACACCATCCCAGTTCAAAATATCATCTTTTAATTTATTGTAGTGAAACATTTCTTCTGGGTGATGTTTGCTTATTTTGTCAAAGACTACTGTACCGATTGAATACAATATCTAAAACATTTTTGGTCTTTGTTTTTAATGTTGATACATGCCTTTTTTAATTTAATCCATTCCGGTAGTTCTATGTATCTCCCTGCCCTTGTTGGGTCATATTTGTTGGGTCATATTTGTCATAATGAATGGTTATTGATAAAATCTTTTTAAAGCGTAAATTAGAGGTTGATGCTTCTAAATTTTGTATTTGTAATAAGATTTGTTTAACACTATCTTCTAATGCTTGTGTCAGTTCATCTTCATTACTAATATTAAAGCGTGTTGAAGGTAAAGCATATACAAGTTCCTGACTGCCAATTTCATTTCCTCCATCATCATATTCAGGTTTTTCAAACAACCCTTCCGTTCTTATGTTAAGTTTCATGCTTCTATTCTTTTTTAGAAATTCTAATAGTCTTTGTTTTTGGTGCGCAATCATTTCTAAACCTCTTTCCCCTTCAAAGTGTTTATTTTCTAAAACGATTGAATTTGCATATCTTCTAAATGCTGATTGAATATCTCTGACCCTGAATTTGTTTCTTATTGCGTGTTTAGTCAGGATTTGTCTTACTCTCCCTTCATTGAAAGCACCCTTTGCCTTGTTTAAAGCATAACTTCTGTATTCATTAGTTTTCTGTACTGATAATAATTTCTTTGTTAACACATTTGATATGGGTTTGTCTTTGTTGTATCTGAATTTCTTATCATCTATTATTATTGACTTTAATTGTTTTCTTCCTCTCTTTGTTATTTCTGCTAATTATTACTCAATAGATAGTCTATATTTTTTTTCATCATATAATATTATATATTTTATTTAGTCAATTTATCTTTAAGTAGTTTTTGTTTAAGAATGCCTTATTTTAATCTGTGAATATATGCTTAAAGAATAGTTATTTAAGTATATTAGTAGGATGGATTGTGTGAAGGATTTACCTGTTGATGTGTTGAGTAAAATTGCTTCTTATAAAATTGGAGGCCCTAAATATTTGAAAATTAAGTATAATCATATTGAGGCATTAAAGAGAATACAAAACAAATATAAGATTTCAAGACTTGGTCCGAAAATAACAAGACATTTGAAATCAAGAAAAAAGATATATATAATTGAATACTGTATTGTGAGAGAGGGAGTGCCATTTGGTTTGAAAAGTATAGAAGATATAATAACAGAAGAACAAGAAGAATCATTATCTTTAATTTATGAAGAAGTAGAAGATGAATTGAATTATAGAGTTAAACTTGATATTGAAGTTCAATTAGTGGCAAGACTCCCAGAAAAGGAATATGGAGAAAATGAATTTAGTTATAGAGAGATTTATTTTATGAATGACTTTTGATGAATATTTAGATGAAGATAATATAGATACAATATTAGAGAAAGCAGTTGAAGAAATACAGGAAGATATAGATGAAGACCGAGATAAAGATAGTATCATAGGAATACAAGCATTTCATTTTAAACTAATAATTATTGAAGACATTTACTACTAACATAATTCTAATAATACTATTTATTAGATTTATGGATTATTAAGATAGGACTATTAAAGGTTAGGAAATTGTCTTTATTATGGTTTGTTGTTTTGTTTTTTATGTTGATGTTTTTTTGGTTTTTGTTTTGGGTATGGAATGGATGAGGTCATGATGTGATTTTCTATGCACGAAAAATATCAAACAAAACTGAAAACAGATTTAAGAAAATGACTGTTTTAAGATATATGGATGATAAAACCTGTAAAACTTGTGAAAGAACTATGGACATTGATAATTTTGATGAAGGGTTCAAAACTTGTAAAATGTGCTTGTCAGATAAAAGAACCAGTTATCACAAACATAAACATAAACGAAATGAGGTTCAAAGAAAAAGATATGAAGAAGATGAGGAATATAGAAAAATGAAGCAGGACTATAATAACACAGTTCAATCTAAAATTGGTAGTTGTTCTGTTTGTAATTGTTCAATAACCCAAGCAAATTACTATAAGCATAAGAAAACAGAGAAGCATCAAACAAACTTAAATAATAGACAGTAGTTAGGTTTTAATAAAATGAATGAGGAAATTAGGTATTGACTTTTATGATTTATAGAAATGAAAGAGGTAATATATGGTTAGTAGTGATGATTTTGAAAAAATGAGTGAGGTAATTATGCCTTGACTGTTTTTATTTTCATTATAGTTTTAATATTGTTGAAAAAATGAAGTAATCAACAATATTAAAAATCTGTGTTTAGACTGTTATAATTGCAATTAAAAAACTTCTATGAACTGTGGTTTTTTACATTTTTTGGGTGGGGTGGGCTGGGCTGGGGTATTAACCTTCATGTACATGTTCATACATCATCGACTTTAACATCACATCTAGTTATCTTGGGGTGGGTGGGGTGGGGTGGGGCAATAACTTTTATGTACATGTTCACATGTCAGCGACTTTAACATCACATCTAGTTATCTTAGACGATACGTCAGGGGTACGTTATCTTAGCTTTGCGACAGCTGATGAGCTGAGACGAGGCAAGCAAACATGGTCTTTTGCAGATCGCTGCATTTTGAAGACAGAAACGCTGTAAGGGTTGTCGAACCCCGAAAAAAAAAAACGTAAAACATATGTATAATGCATTTTTGAAGCACAAAATCTCCATTGCGCTGTGAGAAAAACTCGTTTTTTAATAAAAATGTGGGACAGTGAAAGATCCGCAGGGATGTTTGTGTATATATATATATTACACATGAATTATATCCAATGTGATCTCCATGGATGGTTCGCCAGCCTTGCCTTTCAACTCATGTCTTGAATAGCCAAAGAGTTCCTCGAAACACGATGAAACTGCCACCAGCTCTTCATTCAGAACTTCCTGTAGGTCATCAGTTGTCGTCGCCAAGCGCGCTGCGGCCACTGGAATTTTGGGTTTTCCCAGGATCTCAGAAATATCATCCACAGAATCCAGAGGTGCCTCCGGTCCCTCGATGCTTTCTTTCGACGCCTCAGCCTCCTCTTTTCTCACGGATGGCGCTTTTGGAGATGTCTTGTTCCTTGGATTTGCTGAAAAGAGGCCTCCAAAGAAGTCAAACATCCAAACATATTCTCTAAAAATTCCGTCATGGTGTTGTTCCAACTGGAAAAAGAAAAAAATCGCCGGCTCAGCAAAACCAGGGTTCTGAAAGAGGTTAGGGTTCTGGAAGAGGTTCAGCGAAAAGAGACGGGCCACTACACGGGCAATGGGGCAACCCAGCTCTGATCTCATTGAGTTTGAATCTGACTTTCTACACACTTCAGAAACTGAGCCCAGCGACGGTACAGGAACAAAGAATGAATGGGTCACAAAGTCATTGCCCCTCACTTTGAACAAACACAGTGAAGATAAGCAGCAATCCCGGAAACGTCAACATTGTCAACATGTTTAAGGCCCTGAAAACCAGAGACTGACAGCATGGCTTTCAATAGTGACGTCAACCAAGTGCCATTTCTGGAGATCCAAGTGTTGATTCATCCCCTGAGCTCCCAGATCATTCGCCAAGCCCCTTTTTTTTACGTGAAAAACCGTGGGTTTCCGGCAAGTTTTCCACCAAACCTTCCCGTACAACGCCCATCATCTGGGTTGTCACAATCCCTAAATATCTATAACTTGAGACTTCGGATTCCCCAAGGTAAAAGACAACCAAAAATGGCCCTGCCCTGTCCATGAAGTCCAACCCTCCCACCGTCACAAGGCCCCGTCCTGGCCCTGCCTCACCAAAATGCCTCCGGTGCCAATCCCGCCGATCACCTGCACGGGGTTTGGGAAGTTTCCTTCAGCGGAAAGCATGGCAAATATCCCTATTTTTTTTCGTGAACCAACCATGGCCCTCCAAATTTCCCTGAAAAAACAATATGATACATGGCTTTTCCCAATCAAATATAGAGGTTAACCATGGACCATCATCCCAGGTAGGAACTAACGACCGAACGGCCTAACCACCAAGCAGCAGGCTCAGCAGGCTTTATGGAGGTATGATGGGAGACAACCATGAATACCGGGAATAATATGGGCAACAAATGGGAGTAGAATGGGATGTTGGAATATATCTATCTATATTAATATATACAGTACATATATTATCCAATTGGATTCCCGGCGATGAAGGGGTGTTTAAATTATTTTACATTGGACGATGGGCCGATGATGGCTGTTTCTTAACAATCGAAACCTTGTGAAATCGATAGTTTCAACTGAGAGAGAAATCAAATATTCTTGACAAGAATTCGTGAAGAACTTTCATCATCCTACTCAGCGGTTCACACTCAATAATCCTACGACACCAATGCTATCGGTGAACTGGGGATCTTGTGTTGGGAACTACAGGATTGTTGGACCATATTGGACGGTTGCTGATGAGATCCAATTGATCTCAGAGTAGAAGCCAGTTATGACGATCTGTTGAAGTTGTCTTGGTGGGACATGTTAAAATCTATAAATGTGGATATCGTGGAAATATCATAGGGATACAATCATTTCAAAGATATGATATTTGATGATCTTGGGGTGGGTCTGAACATGATTATGTATGTATATATATATACACATAGCGTGCTATATGACTGAAATTTCCCATATATATATATATGTTATACACAATACACACCCCATATAATATATATATGAGCATGATATCATATCATAAATCTGTGTACATATATTATATATATATTATAATTATATATATATAATTTCCATATATGTCCATGGTATTTCTATGAAATTTCTATGGGGGGGTTCTATGAGATGATCCACCTGGAGCGCCCCACCTCCCACTGCGGCATGGCCGCATGGAGAAAATCGCAGAGGTTGGATCCCGTGAAGCAAAGGCTGTTCTTTTCATAGCCTGGGGCCTAACTTTAAAGATGAGAATACACCATAGTAATCCCATAGAAATATCATAGAAATACCATGGACATATATGAGAATACACCATAGTATAAAACACATAGATTTTTTTATACCCTGGGACATTGGTGTATGGTTTGAAACACAAATAACACTTCTTTTTCAAACAAAACCACCGGATATTTAATATGAAAATTATCTACAACTATAGATTGAACAATGAATAGATCTAACGACTGATGTTGCAATTTCAATGGATCTGGCTGAAGTTCATCATAATTCACTCACCTGAAAATAGGTAAGTTATCATGCCATTTGGGTATGATTCTCCTTACATTCACCATCAATGGATGTCTTTGGTTTTTTATACCTCTGCAAGCCTTGCTGTTCATCCTCTGGGCCAGACAGGAGGGACAATTTTGGGGACAGGAAAAATTGGGGAGGCAAATAGGTTTGGACTGATTTGGGGAAAAGATATCTTCTGATATGTATGTATATGTATATATGTAAGTATGTATATATATATATATGTATGTATGTATGTATGTATGTATGTATGTATGTATGTATGTATGTATATATATATATATGTATGTATATATATGTATGTATATATATGTATATATATATATGTATATATGTATGTATATATATATATATTTGTATATATATATATGTATATGTATACATACATATATATATATATATATATTACATACATATATATATATATATTGGTATATATATATATGCATATATATAGGTATGTATATATATATATGTGTATATATATATGTATATATATATATATATGTATGTATATATATATACATATACATGTGTGTATGTGTATATATATATACATATACATGTGTGTATGTATATATATATATATATATGTATATGTATGTATATATATATGTGCATATGTATATGTATATATATATGCATATGTATATGTATATATATATATGTGTGTATATGTATGTATATCTGTATGTATATATATGTAAATTATATATATGTAAATATATATATATATACATGTATATATATGTACATATATATATATATATGAATATTGATATGTCATATGTACATAAATACACATGTATATATATAATATTCTATAATTGTATATAAGTATGTACCAAAAAGACACCTCCCCAAGAAATGAATTTGGGGACATGGGCTCTCATTGGCATGCTTCCCATCTGAAATCTACAAATATTCCGTCCAACTTGGGCGTTCTGTTGCACTGTTTGATGGAAAATCTACACCATATTCATTGAAAAAAAGAACGCCCTTCCTGCCAATTGTTTTTTCCGAATGACTGGATGAGTCTTCATCAATTTCCCATGTTGGCTGATTGTCCGCAGATATTCCCTACAAATCATCCAATGAAACTCCGCAATGACCTTCGCCACCTCCATATATCTTTTCAAACTCGAGAGGTTGTTCGGCACATTGGCACAGAGGTACACATCGACATGGGCCGCACGCAACACATTGGAAGCTCTCGTCGCCCAGTCTCCAGCCCCTCGGCTCTTCATGTCTGAGTCTCAGTAGATTATATACCTAATGGGAAAACGGAAAATCACCTTCAGCAATCCTGGTGTATGTACATGTGTATATATATATATATGGTAATATTAGTAATATATAATTATAACAATTACAAATTCTATATATATATAAACATACGTTTATCCGTATATACAGTATAAAAACACAAATCCATGTTGGTCTATGCTGACCTTCAAGCATTTCCCAACATTTGAAAAGCCTTGGCTCACCATGCTTTGTTGCTCCCATGGCGCCAGCTGCCAAAAATTTCGGTGAAACGAAACGGTGCGGCGGATCTGATCAGCCGCTCTGCTCCTCCTCCAGCCACGCCTTTCGCTCGCCCTTCTCCCACCTGCCGCGGAAATGGTGTGATCCTCTGGTGGTATCGGAGCTCCGAAATTTATTGCTGACCATTAAATGATGGGATAAATCCTCGATCATATATTTCCTCATGTATTACTCAAGAATTGTGTTCAAACAAATAACACCGGCATAGGCCCCAGATAGAAAAAAATAAGAGACGTTATTTTTTCTGCCGTGTGAGTCAGTCGCGGAAATAGTGGAACTCTCGACCGGCGCAAGTAGGTACCTTGTTAAGCACCCTCCGCGCCCTGCACAGCAACCTGCACAGCAACCTGCACAGCAACCTGCACAGCAACCTGCACAGCAACCTGCACAGCAACCTGCACAGCAACCTGCGCAACACCCTGGCCAACTTCGCCGCAGCTCCCAAAACTTTGCCACCGCACTGGACAGCACACTGAAAACCCCACCGCACTGAGAAGTAAGGACCCCTATAGCTTGCCAGGGGAAAAACACGGTGGTTGGAAGACTCACCCCAGTCCTGCACCCGCAAGTAGGGTCTAATCATCAATACACCGAAAAGAACATCCATAGATATACTATGAACATGACTATACAGAAGTACTGTTTGAAATTTCTTGTCAATCAAAACATTGGATACCATCAAAAAGCAACATTCAGAATCATTATAGATATATCATCCCAATGATCATCAAAACAAACATGGGGATGGGTCAAAACCCTGGCACCTAGTGAACATCAAGTCACAGCTGGGATTTATGGATGTTCATCCCCCTAAAAATGGTATTTTCATAGGTATTGATCCATACCCACATCATGAAAAAAATGGCATTCGACCATCAAACAATCACCATGGATGGCTGCGAAATCCTGCACTGACTCTCAGGCCAGGACTGCGCCATACGGTGGCTCCCTTGGGCGTTGCACAAACGGCCCACACCGTGCTGCTTGCCTGGGGCTTGGCGAAACGACAAAAACAACTCAGGTGACAGGGAAATGTGGGAAACTTCGAGAAACAATGTGGATAGATAGATATATATATATATGTACTATATTATATATATATATAAATATAAATTATATATATATATATATATAAATTATATATATATATAGCTGATGTCATGGGATTTAATTTATGTTGGTTTAATTGGATATACTTTGGGATTTAATTGGAATTATGTTGGCTTCAGCAACAAACATGACGTTGACCAGATTTTTTCTCATCATCAAAATGCGGGTTGACCAGCAAGCATGGGAACCTGTGGTTCTAGGAGTCAGGCCTGCATTGATTCCCAACAAGACATCACAAAAAAGGGCGTAGGATTCAAAGCCAGGCGCCCGGTATTGAATGAGTGGTCTTGGGGCTGAGCTATCGTGGTGATGATGATGATGATGATGATGATGATGGTTATGGTTATGGTTATGGTTATGGTTATGCTGGTGATGCTGCTGATGGCGATCATGATGAGCAGGATGAAGACGACTATCATCACAACTCAAAAACATTGCTTGCAAAAACAAGACCAAAAAATAGCAAAGGCGGACCAGAAAACAACGAAGAAGACGAAGACGAAGAAGGAGGAGAAGAAGAAGAAGAAGAAAACAAAGAAGAAGAAGACGAAGAAGAAGAAGACGAAGAAGAAGAAGAAGAAGATAAAGAAGAAGAAGATGATGATGAAGATGATGATGATGATGAAGATGAAGATGAAGATGAAGATGATAAAGATGAAGATGAAGATGAAGAAGAAGATCATGATGATGATGATGATGATGAAGAAGAAGAAGAAGAAAAGGATAAAGAAGAAGCAGCCAACACAGAAGAAAACAAAGAAGAAAACTAAGAAGAAAACAAAAAAGAAAACAAGGTGATGATGGTGATGATGATGCTGGCGAGGATGACAAACCCTGTCCCCCAATAACAAAAGTCCCCCTTTTCTCTGTGCCTTTGGACCAGTATCCTTCATAGCGCCGGCCGTCAGCCTCGGAGGGCCACAATGTTCAGTGGGAAATGATGATAATCTGCTGGATTCAAAAAAAAAAAGATCTCAAAACATCTCAAAAAAACATCAAACAACCAGTTTTGCAAAATCGTCCAAATGGTGGAAACGAATCCTTGCGAACGACAGCCGCGGAAGGACATTGACAAGTCTGGTCCAGAGGTGTAGCAAAAACTGGCCGTAAGCTTTGGTCAAGCCTCAAAGTTCCGCTCATTTCATCCCTTAACATGGAAGAGAAGCTACATGAAACGGCCCTTTTTTTATGATCTAACACTTCGTTTGTTTGGACCAACGACCGAATCGCATGAATTTGATGTTTCTCGCCGACGAAAATCTCTTGGTCGCCGGGACCCAGGTGAAAATCCCGAAGCCGTCCTTGTTGTCTCTGACATACTGCCCCTGAGCCACAGGATTTTGCGTCGAGATGGAAAAGATTTTAAAAAAATAAAATGAGAATGCTTGAACGGATGATCAAAACAAAGAAAGTCAAAAGTCCCCGATGTTTCTGAAAAATGTATTTAAACATGTATAAAAAATTGGCCCCTTTCAAAAATCCCAAAGGTAATTGTGGCCGGTCTGGACCCCTGAACGCGTTGGGTTTTTTCGCGCCTGGTAGCAGCGACCATCAACCTGAGACCGGTGCCCACATTGTTACGGCTGGGCAGCTGTAACAACCCCCATTCCTAGCAATCATCCACCGGGCCCACAAAGTATACTCAAACATGGCTTGCGGGAAAATACCCGGAAGGTAGTCAAACATGACCATGTTTGATGACACCGAAGGGTTTGACCTTTTTGGTGCTCCACGGGCGTCCACCTTTTTGGCGGCTATGAAGTACTAGCCTCATCCAGCCTCAGCTACCAAATGAGAGGAACATAATGCTTCCGTGATGCTGGTGTTTAAAATGTGGATAATTAATGTAAGTAAATGGTTTATGGTTTATATATATATATAATTATATTATATATATATGTAGTTCATGGGGGTTATAAGTAATACAAGTAAGGAGACTCCCATCCCCCCAAAAAATAGCTATGGCTACAAGTGAATCTGCTATAGCTACATCATGGCTTACCATGGGGTGTATTTAATATGAATGGGGGAAGGGATTCCTGATTCCTGTGTTCATGATCTCTATTAAATTCTATGGAAATATGTTATCACTACATATCACTATCATATATTTGCAACTACTAAAAAAAACAAGTTCAATTATTGTCATCATCATCCTCATTCTGATGTCGAAACAAGATGACAAGAATTACAAGTTCTCAGCGCCTTCTCCAACAACTTCCAAGATGTGTGATATATTCTAACGCCGAAACAAGATGAGCCATGAAACAAATAGCCTCCATCCCATCCCCTCATGCTGGTATAACTAGGGGGTATCCAAGTTCTGGAATATCATAATGCCCAATGAACCCATATCCCCATTGATCCCCTTTCCTAACCTATCAACAATGGCATTTTTGGCTGGCTCCGATGATTTAGCTCTCCATCAAGACCCAGGGACAGTGGACTCTCTCGTTCGCCCGTTACTTTCACCAAACGCCTCTTGCACCTCGAACGTGGAGCAGGAGTTGGTCTACCCACAAAATATGGGGTATATGACTGGGATATCAGGGCTTGGGACATGTCCCTTTTTGGGTTATGACTTGGAGATTAGGTCCCCAATAGTTGAAGATGTTGAAGTAGTTCAGCTGGTATATGACTGGTATATGACTTTGAACACCATACTTGCAGGTATCTGCTTGGAGATTAGATCCCCAATAGTTCGGTGATGTCTAAGTCGGGGACATGCACCAGCAAGTCATCTGATGTGCTTTCTGAAGCGACAAGACTATATATGGGGGTTTCCATAGTCATGAGGGTACCCCAAAATGGATGGTTTATAATGGAACATCCCACTAAAATGGATGATTTAGGGGTACCCCTACTTTAGGAAACTTCCATATATTACATATATCATTTATATATATATATATGTATACATATTTATTAGATCAAACTTAGAAACATGGGGTATAACTAACCAACCATCATGCTAATATGGTAGGGATCTCGGGAATTAACGGGATGGGATATTGATGGGGATATGAATGGAAATGGGATATCAATCAGAGTAGGAATAAAATCAGCAAACATGGAGTAAAAACCCAACATACTGCAGATACCCTCTGGTAAACTAACATAACTATGGAAAATCACCATTTTTAATGGGTAAATCAACTATAAATGGCCATTTTCAATATGATTGTTTACCAGAGGGTACCCTGGTGATATTGATATTGACCCATACATGCTATGAATCGCTACGAGAGAATGTGTCCACAATCTGTGGAGGAGGAGGGAAAAAAAATCGACCGTAGCATGGAATGGCTACCAAGGCTACATGTCTCCGTGCCCTTCAGTAAACATACAAAACGATATGGAAATCCACCAGAAATATCGAGCATTTCGGGAAAAACCCATGGATCTCCATCGCTTTTTCTGTGACAGGATTTGATCTGCTGGCAAATCTCCAACATGTCCAGTGCGACTGAGACACACCATCACTGCAAGAGAGAAAAGCAGCAGAAATTGCAGGACGCAAACGAAAAGCAGCGCCTGTTCCAGCATTCCACAAGGTCAAAAATGGGTGCATCTGAAAATGATGCATTTACATGGATCTACTATGTTTTGCTCCCGATTTATGGTCATGTTAATATAAAATGATGAGTAAGCAGTGGATTAAGGGGCACGCTATTTTCAGACAAACCCAACTGCTGGGAAAAAAAAAACTGCAGCGAGATCCCAGGTTTTTATCAAAGGGCTCATGATGCAAAAACAAAAACAATTCTCGTCATCTATCCTCCATGCTTCAAGACTTACAATTTCAAGGGTTGATGGCTGCTTGAGATGGTGAGATATTGGGATAGAATATGATATAGATATGATATAGTCATATAGTCATGGGGATTTCGACAAAATGACCCGGTTTTTTCACAGGTGACCCCTGCAAAATGATGGCTTTTTGAAATGATGAGTGCCGCTGCCTGCTGCATTTCGAGTCCAGCGGTGAGGGATTTCCGGAGATTCCAGGGTCGGTTGGTGAGGCTGCTCTCATCGCTTGAAATCTGAAGAAAAGGAATGACCTCACCAGATCGCTGGGGTCCAAAACCATGTCATCCGAAACAAAAAAAAAACGCGGCCTGGAAAAAACATGACACATGCATGTGATACCCTGGAAAAAATCGATGGCATCTAGCAATGTATTACAGTGTATTCCTTCCACCTGCTTCAAAATTTAGGCCACTAAGCCAAACCAAGACTTCAAGATTTCCTCAGAAATTGGTCAAAGACTTCTATAAGGACTCAAGGGTGACTCATGGGCACTAAGGATCTTGCGACCATCAAGAGATCTGCTAGGCGGTAACCAGCCACTGCCAGCTGCCTTCTCGAGACTTCCCGCACTTTTTGGATGTACGCGTCCTGGATCGAAAACTGGATCGATCTGGCAAAGGATCGATTGCTAAGTGATGCTACGTGGATATACTGGTGAATAACCATCAATAACCATTATATAATAACAATTATATAATAACAATTATATAATAACCACCAATAACCATTAATAACCATTAATAACCAGCAATAACCATTAATAACCAGCAATAACCATTAATAACCAGCAATAGCCATTCACAACCATTACTAACCAGCAATAACCATTACTGTAATAAGTTTGTAAGTGGATGGTCCTCCCCACAACTATCTCGTGGTATATTGGTCAAACATTTTTCGACTCATCACCTGGGCCCGAGCTTCTGAGACGGTTTCATCTATGCGTACCCCGCGATATGCATCTTTGACCGCGAGGCGATGCACGTGGAGAACCCAACGTTTGAAGACCTCAGATGTAACTTCTCCACGGCCATCCCAGCCGTACCCCGAAACGAAGTTGTTTGATTCATGAAGGAACCCCTTCATAAACCGGAGTGATTTGTCAGGCAAAAATTCAGGGGGTATATTTTTTTTTACCTCGTCCAAGGCGCCGAACCGCAATCCCTGGTTGGAAAACAGTCCATGTCTGAGTCGTTGAGTTCCTCCCACGGCACGTGGGGAATGGTTCCAATTGCTTCCCCTACTGGTTGGAGGCCATGACATCGTGGATTTTGCTTCATGTTTTTGGGCATACCTTGTGGTAATCAAACATGTCAATGGGAAACTCCCTATACATGGAGGTTTGACTGGGAAAATAATGTATGTTAATCTCCTCAAGGAATGGCATTCACTGGAACATGTTCAGTGTGGTTTCTGTTTGGGTGGTTTTCGGTGCCGGGCATCTGAGAGTTCCCCGCTGTTGACATTTTTCATTTTAATAGGGGTCACTGGAAAAAACGCAAACGAAACTGTACTTTCATTACCAACATTGTCACCAATTTCAAATTCAACATCAGCCTCAACATTTGTTCATCATCATCATCATCATCATCATCATCATCATCCATCATCATCATCATCATCATCATCATCCTCATCATCATCATCATCATCATCATGAAAATGACGTATGTGTGGAAGCCCAAGAGAACGCACAGTAGCGTAACATGCGGTATGTGGAAGTGAAAGACAGCGCACGGTAGGGTAGCATGCGGTATGTGGAAGTGAAAGACAGCGCACAGTAGCGTAATCCCGCCTATAGAGGAGGGGGGGGAACCAACCTGTCGAATTCCACTGTTTTTTGCTTGGAACCCTTGGGATAGTGATCCAACCCCTCACATGGAATTTTAAAGTAACATCTCTTAACAAGCCTTGTGCACTGGTTAGAAAATACTTGCGCGTAGCTCCTCCGGAGCTAAGCGCAAGTATGATGACTGCAGCACAATTTTCGGAGGGATGCCACCCTACACATGTGCTGCTTCAGTCTGACATGTGCTTAGCTCCTCCGGAGCTAAGCCAAATATTTAATTTTCATCTGCTTGCCAATGACATGGAATGACGAGGAATACATACTGAGCATTGAGAAAATATGATTGCGAAAATGGAAATTTTAAAATGAAATTTCAGTACGACTCCCCCCTCAAATTTCATTTTCAAGAGGGTAGGGATGTAGCGTAGCATTACGTATGTGTGCAGGTGCAAGAGAACGAACGCACAGTAGCGTAGTATGACGTAAGTGTGGAAATGCAAGAGGACACACAGTAGCGGAGAATTACGCATGTGTAGAAGAGCAAGACAACGCACAGTAGCGTAGCATGGCATATAGGTGGAAGCGCAAGAGAACGCACAGCAGCGTAGAATGACGTATGTGTGGAAGTGCCAGAGAATGCACAGTAGCGTGGCATGAGGTATGTGCGGAAGTGCAGAAGAGGGCACAGTAGCGTAGCATGACCGATGTGTGGCAGCGCAAGGGAACGCACAGTAGCGTAGCAAGACAAATGTAAGGAAGAGCAAGAGAACGCATAATAGCGTAGCATGAGGTATGCGTGCAAGTGAAAGACAGCGTACAGAAGTGTAGCATTGCGTATGTGTGCAAGTGCAAGAGAACCAACACACAGTAGCGTAGCATGACGTATGTGCGAAAATGCAAGAGGACGCACAGTAGCGTAGCATTATGTATGTGTAGAAGAGCAAGAGAACGCACAGTAGCGTAGCACGATGTATGCGTGGAAGTGCCAATGAACCTTTTTAGCCCACCCCACGCCACCACCCCCAAACCCAACGGTTATGTTCATAGTAAGACTTTGCAAGCCTCTCAGACGCCTGGCACCAGGTTTTAGACTGAAAACAAAAAATCAACATGAATCCACGCCCCAGAATGCTGCCGACTGGGCATGGTTCAATTGAGCTGGAAAACATAAGCATTGGCTACTTGGGGCGTCCCAAGATTGATCCATCCCCAAGTCATGCAAGGCGACCCAGTCCTCCAAACTCTTTCTTGGGAATTCCCGGAGAAGCGCTGAAGCATTTTCCGAAAGTTCAACCTTCCAAATCCAATTGACACAAGTGGTATGGCGTATGCATGGTGACTTGCCGGCCTACCGCCAATGGGTCCCATGGTCAAAATCTGCATGTTGCATAAAGGTAAAAATGGTTGCACACACACACACACATATATATATATATATATATGCATACAAACAAATGTATATAAACAAATATATTTATACAATATCTATATATACATATATTTGTTTGTTTATTTACATGCGCAAACTTTAAAAATTTCTCTATATATATATACATATATTTTAAAAAAACAAATGCACATATATCCCTGTACAACTGCAACTATATGCGTACATAAATGCACAAATATGTTACAAATTAAAAATGTGTTCTACATATATATATATATGTGTGTGTACATATAAGCGCAAAAACAAATATGTATACACATATGTACATATATGTATACACATATAATCATACATGTATACACTATATACATTTATGAAAACATTTACTCAAATTTATATATACATGCACACACCAAAAAATAAATGCAAACATAAATAAATATATATATACAACGGAAATGCATACATCTATATATATATATATATGCATATTAAAATAAACATACACATATATAATATAGATATATATTAATTTACCTACATATACAAAAATACATCAATACATACAAGCGCATGCATATTCAAATACATATGTAAACCTACATGCATATATATTTATATATATATACACATACATACGTACATCCGTACATCTACATGCATCTATTTAAATACATACATACATGAAAATAAAACATGTGCATATTAAAGCGTACATATACGTTCGTTTACAATTTTACATTCTGACATAAGTATATCCGTTTATACAAAAACATTTATACATATAATATACGACGTTTGATTTAAATTCCTTTTATCTGCAAACGGCCATTCGAGAATAAAAAAAGTAATTTCGCACATCTTTCATCTTTCGCTAACCCCACGTTTATCTTTCGCGGGGTCTCATGTTAAAATCTTTCGCTAAATCTTTCCCCAAAAAAATTATCCCGGCAAGAGATCCTCAAACGGTGTGGGGAAAATCGGGGATAATGTATGATCATGTGGATGATGATGGTGATGACGGTGACGGTGACGGTGACGATGATGATGATGATGATGAGGATGGGGATGAGGATGAGGATGAAAATGTTGCGGGCGATAATGTTGAGGATGATAATGTTGCGGAAGATGAGGTGGAGGGTGATGATGTTGCGAGGATGATGTTGCGGAAGATGAGGTGGAGGACGATGATGTTGCGGAAGACGAGGTGGAGGATGATGATGTTGTGGAAGAGGAGGTGGAGGATGATGATGTTGATGATGATGTCAAGGGGGACGATGATGATGATGATGATGTTGAGAATGATGTTCAATGCTGAGGAGGAGGAAGATGATGATGCTGAGGATGAAAATGCTGATGATGATGATGATGATGACGATGACGATGATGATGGTGACGCTGATGACGATGATGGTGATGATGATGATGATGGTGATGATGATGGTGATGATGATGATAATGATGTTGAGGATGATGTGGTGTAGGGTGGTGATGTTGAGGGTGATGAGGTGGAGGATGATGATGTCAAGGGGGAGGAAGAGGATGATGTGGAGAATGATGATGTTGAGGAGAAGGAAGAGGATGATACTGAGGATGCTGATGTGGAGGAGGAGGACCGATCCCAAGACCGAGCTGCGTGTCTTGTTCGAGCGTGCGCAGTCGAAATGCACTTCAACATTTCACAAGAGCCACTTTATACGGGAATTTACGGCAAAAATGCTGCGGCCCAGAACCCAGGACCACACTTTGTGCGAGCCTGCACAGTGACAGTCGGAATGCAAGTCAACATTTCACAAGAGCCACTTTATACGGGAATTTACGGCAAAAATGCTGCGGCCCAGAACCCAGGACCACACTTTGTGCGAGCCTGCACAGTGACAGTCGGAATGCAAGTCAACATTTCACAAGAGCCGCTTTACACAGAAATTTACATGAAAAATGCCGCGCCCCAGAGTGAGCACCCTGATCAAGCACCAGCCTTTACTCCTACCGTAAGAACCCCTCAGTGTGGACACACTGTTTGGGGAAAAAATGCTTTTGCGAACTCAGAAACAAACTTTCGTGGGGTCTCTACATGGACCTTTAGATAGACAATAATGTACATATATGCATTCTTATGTCGAATAACTTTTGTGCTGTAAAGGTCACCAAATTGTCGGACACGGATGCGTCCACCTTGAATCAACACCAAGCCTTAACTATCTCCGTCAGAACCCCAAGTGTGAACACACTGCTGGGGGAAACAAAACTTGGCTCTGCATGACGATGTTTGGGATGGAAACTGGAAAAAACAAGATGCAGTCCACGAACCCGAATGCAGTCACGTGAAACATTTTTGTGAAACAAGTTATTTGAACAGTCTTGTAGTTTTTTCCCTGTTACCGTACCAGTGCACAGTAGACTGTGGAATGTGGAAGGGGGTGAAGTGCAAAGCGTGGAGTGTGAAGAAAGCGGAGTGTTGAGTGGGAAATGTAGTGTGTACAGTGTGAAGTGGGGATTGTGGAGAGTGGAATGTAAAGTGGTGTGGGGTGGAATGCGTGAAGTGTAGAGTGTGGAGTGCAAAGTGTACAGTGGAAAGTATAAAGTGTGGAGTGTACAGTGTAAAGTGTGGAGTGTGGAGTATAAAGTGTAGAGTGCAGAGTGCGGAGTGTAAAGTGTAAAGTGTGGAGTGTAAAGTGTAAAGTGTGGAGTGTAAAGTGTGGAGTGTAAAGTGTAGAGTGTGGAGTGTGGAGTGCGGAGTGTACAGGGTAGAGTGAGGAGTTTCAAGTGTGAAGGGTGGAGTGTGGAGTGTAAAGTGTCAAGTGTACAGTGTACAGTGGAGAGCGGAGTGTAAAGTATAAAGTGTAGTGTGTGGAGTGTGGAGTGTGGAGTGTAAAGTGTAAAGTGTAAAGTGTGGAGTGGAGAGTGTAAAGTGTAAAGTATGGACTGTAGAGTGTAAAGTGTAGAGTGAAAAGTGGAGAGTGTGCAGTGTGCAGTGTAGCGTGTGGAGTGTAAAGTGTGGAGTGTAAAGTCTAAAGTGTGGAGTATGGAGTGTAAAGTGTGGAGTATGGAGTGTAAAGTGTAGAGTGTGGAGTGTAAAGTGTAAGGTGTAGAGTGTAGAGTGCGGAGTGTAAAGTGTAAAGTGTAAAGTCTGGAGTGTAAAGTGTAGAGCGCGGTGTAGCGCGTAAAGTGTGGAGCGTAAAGTCTGGAGTGTGGATTTTTGGAGTGTAAAGTGTGGACTGTGGAGTGTACAGTTTAGAGTGTAGAGTGTAAAGTGTAAAGTGTAAGGTGTAGAGTGTAAAGTGTAGAGTGTAAAGCGCAAATTGTAAAGTGCAAATTGTAAAGTGTGGAGTATGGAGTGTAAAGTGCTGAGTATGGAGTGTAAACTGTAGAGTGTGGAGTGTAAAGTGTAAGGTGTAGAGTGTAGAGTGCGGAGTGTAAAGTGTAAAGTGTAAAGTCTGGAGTGTAAAGTGTAGAGTGTGGTGTAGAGTGTAAAGTGTGGAGCGTAAAGTCTGGAGTGTGGATTTTTGGAGTGTAAAGTGTGGACTGTGGAGTGTACAGTTTAGAGTGTAGAGTGTAAAGTGTAAAGTGTAAGGTGTAGAGTGTAAAGTGTAGAGTGTAAAGCGCAAATTGTAAAGTGCAAATTGTAAAGTGTGGAGTATGGAGTGTAAAGTGCTGAGTATGGAGTGTAAACTGTAGAGTGTGGAGTGTAAAGTGTAAGGTGTAGAGTGTAGAGTGCGGAGTGTAAAGTGTAAAGTGTAAAGTCTGGAGTGTAAAGTGTAGAGTGTGGTGTAGAGTGTAAAGTGTGGAGCGTAAAGTCTGGAGTGTGGATTTTTGGAGTGTAAAGTGTGGACTGTGGAGTGTACAGTTTAGAGTGTAGAGTGTAAAGTGTAAAGTGTAGAGTGTAAAGTGTAGAGTGTAAAGTGTAGAGTGTAAAGCGCAAATTGTAAAGTCTAAATTGTAAAATGTGGAGTATGGAGTGTAAAGTGTGGAGTATGGAGTGTAAACTGTAGTGTGGAGTGTAAAGTGTAAGGTGTAGAGTGTAGAGTGCGGAGTGTAAAGTGTAAAGTGTAAAGTTTGGAGTGTAAAGTGTAGAGTGTGGTGTAGAGTGTAAAGTGTGGAGCATAGAGTCTGGAGTGTGGATTTTTGGAGTGTAAAGTGTGGACTGTGGAGTGTACAGTTTAGAGTGTAAAGTGTAAAGTGTAGAGTGTAAAGCGCAAATTGTAAAGTGCAAATTGTAAAGTGTGGAGTGTAGTTGTTTTCCACATCTATGTTAGTTTACGGCTAAATCCCCGAAAATTCTGCCACAAAGCTAGGCATTCGAGCCGAGGGACTGGTGGCACCCTGGGCCATTCATCCAGGTATAAACCGCCCGCGGCATCCCAGAGCAGGTGCAGGTTCGTTAGACTTTTCCAGGGGCTTTTGATCCTAGAGCCATCTCGAAACATGTTGAACCAGCAGTTATATCCTCCCGTAAACTAATATAGATAAAACATCGTCCCAGGGTTTTCCATGGCTGTTCCATGTCTTTTTGTATGTTTGCTGGTACCCTCTACAGTAGCAATCAACCATGGTGTGCTGGAAAATCCCCCATTTATATACTGCATGATTATCCCATAAAAAAATACTTTACTTCCTGTGATCCCCACCATGACATTTATCGATTTGTTACTGGCAAATCTTCTGGCATTCTATCTGACATATCTTCTGGCATTCGATCTGGCATTCTATCTGGCATATCTTCTGGCATATCTTCTGGCATATCTTCTGACATCCTATCTGGCATTCTATCTGGCAAATCTTCTGGCATTCTATCTGGCCGCAAACATTCTGGCACTTTATCTGGCATACCTTCTAGCTTTCTGTCTGACATTCTATCTGGCATACCTTCTGACATTCTATCTGGCATATTTTCTGGCATATGTTCTGGCATATCTTCTGGCATTCTATCTGGCATACCTTCTGGCATTCTATCTGGCATATTTTCTGGCATATCTTCTGGCATTCTATCTGGCATTCTATCTGGCATATCTTCTGGCATATCTTCTGGCATTCTATCTGGCCGTTGAGGGCCAGCGGTGCTCACTGAGCTCGGAAGGTCCCAGGTGGAGGTCCAGCGGTGCTCACTGAGCTCGGAAGGTCCCAAATTGAGGTCCAGCGGTGCCCAGTGCTCAGACCCTTGCAGTTGAGGTCCAGCAGTGCCCACTGCGTGCGGAAGTCGGCGAAGAGCTTGGCGAAGAGTTGGCAAGGCGGAAGTGAACATGGAAGTGGAGGCAGAGGTGGTGGAGGAAAAGGAGGAGGAGGAGGAAGAGGAGGAGAAGAAGGAGAAGAACAACTCTGATAAAATCTAACAACCCTCACCTGGCAGGTGGGGGGAAAAAACATCCATTTAGCTCGGGCATTTCCCATGAAATCCCATATTCATCCCAAAAAAAACCTGGTAATTTTTCCAGGTGGCTATGTTTGCTGACACCGATACCGAAAAAATCCTCCGTCAGTCCTCAGCAAGTTTCCACCAAGGTCCCCACGGGGCAAATCTCCGAAACGCGTGTCGTTGAAAACCCCGCGCACCGCGTGAAGTGGCTGATGGATATCCCCAACCAGGTGGATCGCCTGGTTTTTTTTCATGAGGAAAATGTGTGGGAGAATGTTGGAAACCATGGGAAAGTGTTGTGCTTGTTTTTGTTGGGATCAATTTTAATGCTGAAAATCACTACAAAGCATCTCAGTTCTTGACCACTTGACCAGTGTTGAGCTCCGGGCACCAACCTTGGGGCCCTTTTTTTTGGGGGCCGTCGAGGTACGAAGCGAAGCATGAAATTCAGGGCAAAGGTGGACTGAGATAAGCTGAAGGTGCCTAAGTCCCCCATCCCCATGGCGATGGAAAACCAGCCACAGGAAGGGGCATGTCTTCAGTATTGAACCATCGCTTGGACCCATCTTCCAATGAAACATATAATCTATTACAAGCACTAAATGTATTATCAAACCATACTTCAACAATAACTATCCATAACTTTTATACATGTGTTCATAAATGTTAGCCACACCTTATTGTTGACTCGTGGCAACACGTGGCACCTGGCGATCGCAACCACGCCACGCATCGCTTGTCGCAGGGCCCAAATGGCTGATGGATTTCCAGTGGCATGAGCATCATCGATAAGCACATGATCCTGGGCGGAAAGCGGCTGCGCCAGTGGTGTTCCCGTTCGATTGAACATTGTTGATTAGTAAATATGAGTAATCATACTGACAAAAATGATGGTGTTAACAACAGTGATAATTGGATTTGGTGCGGGCTCTCATCATGTTCATGTCATTGTCTGCTGTCGACAGTTCCGTCCATGCCAAGCATCTGGATTGTAGTCCAAGTCGACATAGTGCCAAGCACTGAACCTGATTTCTTCGATAGGTCCAAGTCTCCAAGTTAGAACACCCTAAAATGGGATGGTTCAATAACACAGACAAGCCCATATCATTTCGTATGTCATACACATATGAATATGAATATGAATATGAATATGAATATGTATCCGTATATGTGTATGTATATGTATATGCATATATATATATGTATATGTGTATGCATATATATATATATATTCACACGTAGTTCATATATTATTCATCTATCTGGTTATGTACATGCATATATATATATATATACACATTTATTTATTTATTCATTTATATATATATATATGTAAATGTATGTAAATATGTATGTATGTACACATATATGTACATTCTATCATATCTCCCCATATCCGCATGATATCCCCGTTGCCTCCACCCCAATCCCCGCGACTCCATCAGCATCTCCAAGGCACGCCGACAGCGCAGTGGCCGGCAGGCCACTGCACAGCGGACCATCGCTGCTGGTGCATTTGATGTGGTCGGGCCACACGGACGAACTCACAATGTCCGACATGCCAGGAAAGTCGTTGGACCAGCCGAAAAGGAGCCTATCCACAGTGTCCACCTAGGCCGCGATACCATGGATATTGCATCACCATAGTAGATTCCAACATCTACCATCCTCATTTATAGATGGTCTTCCAATAAAAACCATTTTTTGATTCCAATCATACGCAGTTTTCCTACAAGCCCATCACATTCTGCATCAACTTTCACCAGAGATCTCCCAAATCCGTAGTTTCCATTTGTTTCCATCCCCATTTTCAACCACCTTCACTCAACCGGTGCCACCGCATTTCCCAGCACCAGCCACATGTTGTTGTGGTAGCTGCATCTTGGCCATCTCCGCCACCAACATATGTCCAGTGTCAAACCAGGCGCTCGCCGGACAGCCGGCCACAGCCAGGGCGGCCAGGCGCCGCGCCATGATTGTGATTTTTTGGTATCAAAAATGATCCAAAAGTCTTTTCTAATGGTTAGTCATGGTTAATAATGGTTAATAATAGTGGTTAGTAATATGAAAAAGACGCTGGCTTTTCTTTACATTCTTTACCACTTGCCTGGGGAAGAAACCTGTGACGTCCCACCACAAAGTATCAAAAGGTCTAGACTCTGAGAGACAGGTGAACATATATTATATATTTCTAGCAGTTCAATGTCGATTTTTCCCCACTGTTCATCTATTTTTGGGATCACAAAAGACATTTTTTCGCGGTCAAAATCTGGTGCTGCGTGTCTTGGCTCCTCATCTTGTGTCATGTTTGTTGATATGGGCGCACCAAAAAATGTCGAAAAGTAATTGACCACTATTTTTCTTGGGAATTTACTAAGCAATTTAGCACTATTTCATACTACTGATATACTACTGATATTTTCAGATTTTTTGGGGTGTTGATATATATAATTATAAATGGTAGTGTCCATTAGTAGTCTTCGCCATTTTCACAGATTTTGGCCAGCTGTGAGCCAAAAAGCGGCTCGCGAAAGTCCAGGACCCTGAGTAACCCCGTAACCACCAAAAAGATATGAGTTGGGGAAATATAGAAAGATATCAATAGAAAAGTAAAATCCCATTAAAATAGTGATAATTTGAATGTGTTCTCTCTGTTTGGACTAGGGCTCCCGACCCATTGGTAGCGACCACAACCATGCATCTGAGAGTCCTCAGATTTTCAGAGATTTCCAGGGATTTCCAGCTTCGATCATTCATGTATCAACTGTTTGAAAGTCTCAGTTGTGGTTACTGTACACTCCCAGGTTTTCTCCTGAGTTATGGTTGGAAATGGCTTCCAGGCATACCAATCCCTGAGGTGCCAGGTGCCACGCCATCCATCGGCCCCTGTACTCGCGACCGTCGACCCCTATGTAGATACCTGCGCAACTGATGGCTGCAGGGGTTGTCCCAACTGGGAACGTCGCACAACCATTGGATCAATGGATTGGCTAATTCTTTAAAAAAAATATGCTTCAAAGCCTGGCTTCTACCTCCAAACACAGGCTGTTCCTGCAGATATTTTCCCCAAAAACACAATTTTGGGAAGGGAAGATGGAGTGAGTGTATAGAATCTGAAAGAATATATGCAAAAATATGCAAAAGTATATCTAAAAGTGGTGTGTGATGTCTGTGATGTCCCTTTCAATCACCCGCCTGTGCCATCGATCATGTTCATGCACCACTGCCTCGCTTGTTAGCACAGCCCGGTGAATGGGTCGAAAAAAATGGTGTGGAAACGCCACGGGGTTTGGAAAATCCAAGCGTTTTCAACTAACAAACAAACAGTAAAGTATATATGAATCATTGTGAATCCCCTATATGAAGCCCATATACTATAATTTCACTGGAGATTGACTTACAGTATACTCTTTTTCAGTGATAGCCTGAAACTTCACCGGAGGATTGGATGAGATTCCGCGCCCAAGATACTTTGATCCATCAGGCCAGCGATACTCCTGGCTGTAGGAGTCGGTGGAACCCGTGGATGTTTTGGAATATAGAACCGCACCCCCCCCAAAAAAAAAAGAAAAGAACGGTGAAAAAAACACACAAATTACATAAAACTACTACAGTTACACTATGTTCATCTACTTTACACCTTTTTCGGTGGTGACTATATATGTATGAAGTATGGAGTCGAGAAGCAGTGGATAGCTCACTTGGAAGCGGCAAATCGGCCGATCCAATGGCAAAATCTGCCCTGCTTTCAGCCATTGCTTAGTTCAATCCCGATAACTCCACCAAAATCATCAAACACCCGCATTTTTTTAAGAGGTTTCATGAATCATGTGGCTACCCCAAGCTCGTTGGATGGTTAATTTCATGGAAAATCCCCCCAGGAAAAATGGATGAGAACTAGGGGTACCCCATGACTTAGGAAAGCTCCACATGGGATTTAATGGGAGTTCATATGGGATGATTGGCCAAAACGCGATCAAGTACCTTGCTGTTCACTTCAAAACAGTTGCTAGTTATGGATGTTCATCCCCATTTTTCTTGGTTAAATCAACATTTTTCTATGGTTTTTCCACCATTTCCAACCATCAACTCCACCAAAATCCACCATGTTTCCCAAAAAAAACTTTCGGGATCTCATGAAATCCACCATTTTTTCTCGGTGAAGTATGGTTCAGTCACTATGTTCCATCCTTTTCCTATGGTTTTTCTATCATTTTTCCACCCCACAACCCACCGGGCGCGACGCACGCGCGCGACCCGCGCGCGCACCCCGTTGCCGCTCTTCTTCCCCCGCGCGAACTCCCCGATGAACTGCGACTGGTCGGGCCAGGTTTCGATGGCCAAACCGTCCTGGGAATGGGAACATGGTGGGAACATGGTGGGACCACAATTTAGTAGGCCTACAACATGGTTAATACAGTATGATTAATATGATGGCTAATATGGTTAATATTATGGTTAATATTATGGTTAATATTCTGGTTAATATTATGGTTAATATGGTTAATATTATGGTTAATATGGTACTATGGTTAATATGGTTAATATTATGGTTAACATGATTAATATTGTGGTTCATATGATTAATATGATGGTTAATATGGTTAATTTAATATGGTTAGTAGGCCTACAACAATAATATCATGGTTAACCATGGTTAAAAAATTGTGTGTTAATATCAAAAAAAACACTATTAACCATGAACGACCATGGTTAATATGGTGTGTGAATACCTACAATAGTAGTAGGAATATAATAATGATAATGATAGTGATAATGATAATCATGATCGGATGGTATTAGATACTAAATGATAATTATAATAGTCCATAATAATGGTTAATAACAAGAGTAATCAGCTGGGGGAATTATATCGGTAAATCATAATGATAATCACAATGACAATCAAAATGATAATGATAATGATAACATAGGGATGATCATGATGATAAGATGATGATAATCATGATAATCATGATGATAATCTGATGAATGATGATGGCTATGGCTATAACAATAATTAATGCTAATAGTAATAAATAACAATAAATAAAATTAAACAAAAATGGCTAACAATAAATAATAAAAAAAAAATAACAAATAAATAATGATAAATAGTCAAAACTAATGATAACAATGATAATGATAGTAAGCATATATGGAATGTCCCAACATCCATAATACGTTCCCAACATCTTTGGTATTTTCCCAACATCTATGGTATGTTCCCAACATGTCGGGAAAATGTTGGGATATGACCAGTTGTACACATGATATGTAAGCCCCGTATGATTGTACGTGTCTATAATCAGTAATAACCATCCGTTGTAAAGATCCATTGTAAACTATTGTATAGCAATATATTACTTTGACGATATCAGAATGATTTTATTAGTTAACAAATCAATGAATGGCTATACGATTGTATTATGATGATAATATTAATACTATCAGAACATGAATACTACCACCGTAGGAACAACAGTGGGATAAACAATAACAATGATAGTATTACTTAGTAATAGTTATAATAATTCTAGTATTACGTGTACTATGACTATCATAACCCGAATGTTACTTACTATATATTGAAAAAATGGTCATTGAGTGAGTCATTGAGCCATAAACCAATCAAATCAATCAACAGAGCTATTTTTCTCTGCCCAATTGGCTTCAAAGAACCTACAGATACCTCAGGGATTTGGGTGAGTTCACCAACGAAGAGTCAGGGTTTGAACAGAAATGGGGATTGGACTCCCAAAACTGGCGAGGTATCCCACAAAACGGGATGGATATACTGCAATATTACCAAGCATATATACGTATATAAATATATATAGTATGTACATACGTAGTAAATACATTGCAAAACTGCCGGTGGTGAAATTGTGTTGATTTGTTTCAAGCCATGCCCATATGTTTGCAAAGTCTGTGGACTTGCAGTCAAAGTTCCCTGCCTGTACAGACTCCTTCACATGTGAAGTTTATACAGCGCGATTGCTCCCAACACCCCAAATACAAGGGCTGGTAAAGTGGCCAAATTTGATGGTAAAACCATGCATTTCCACCATTTCTAGCACGATTGGAGCAACCCTGTCAACCATGGTTACCTCCAGTTCTCAACCGTAGACTGAATAGGGTTGAACCTCGGAACCACAGTTCATGTATAGGTCAGCTAAAATCGGTTACCATTTGGTTATTTAACATAGCCATGGAAAATCACCATTTTTAATAGGTAAACCATCTATTTCTATGGGCCATCTATACCATGGCAAACTGTTAGTCATAACCAGAGGGTAAAACTAAGCACTCTCCCGTCCTGCAAATCATTTCTGAACTGACCTGAGCATCAATCCCAAAAAAGAGCTCAAAAAATTGGTGTACCCTCCTGGACCCATACCGAATTGGTCATTAGTGTGGTATTCAACCATCCAGTTATATAAGGAATTAATCGTAGTGCTATATATATATATGTATGTATGTATATATATATATATATTCATCATATAATATCATATAATATCATTTAATATCATATAATATCATATTATAATATCATGAATTATACTCATAAATCAGAATATAATATAATATATAAGTATAGTACCTACCCAAACCTTCCCGTATCGTCCACCAAAACTGCGGAAGCTCTGCTGGAAAAAAAACTCGGACAAGCACCTGGACATCGGCCTGAGGGGCAAGCCTTGATAGACGGTCCCATTCTGGTGAATGTAGGTGCCGTAGCCATGGGCCAAGTTGTCCCTTCCAAGATGAGTTTCAGCTGGAAACCATGGCACCATGATGGGTCCAATTTTCGGCAAATTGAAGAAATTCGGGGTATGGGCTCCTGGTACCCATGACAACAGGCCGTTTTTGAGGATCAAAAACCATCGAATTTTGATGACATCTATCATCATAATGACACATGCAGCAAATGCTCAGCGATGTAAACTTGGATTTGTTGGACCAAACATGGAGATTGTTCTTTTCGGACTTCACCAAGCCAACAAAAAAAGGCCCGTTTTCGATGGAGCCCATCCCAAGGGTGAAAGATCCCAAGCGGTGCGGTTCTTTTGGTCGCAATCACAGCTGTGACAAATCCACAAAGCTGCGACGCAGCCGCCTTCGAAACCGACATGGTGCCGACACGTGGCAGTTCTGTCTGTACAAAGACCGAGCTCCGCCGAAACCCGGTTTTGGGATGTTGGGTAACCCTTCAAAAGTGGGAAATCCCGGCCATTTCTTGGATGTGAAATTGCCCCATCTAAAAGATCAGCAAAGGCTTCCTCGGGCTCCGCTTCCGCGAATTTTGCATCGTCCAGGCCTATCGCTGTTTTTGTTCCCAGGAGGCAAGCAGAAGTGTCTAGGAGGCCAATTGCCCAACATGTCCATAGCTCGCTTTGGAATGGGTCAAAAGTGGGTATGTACCCAAGCACAGGCTGGTTTGAATCAACAAAAAGACGTTGGGGTTCAACCAATCAAGACCACTAGAGTCACTAGAGTCACTAGAGGATGGTAAAATCCACAATCCACTGACCCAAAAGTCTGGGTCCCTTGCTCTGATCGGACCCATACCCACTTAGTTCCCTTTGTCTCCTGGGGGAAAATCTGGACTCAGCGGCATCGGCGAAGCCTGGCTTGCAGAGGTGTCAGAGATGGGTATGGGGCCAACGAACAGTGCAATTCACAGCCGCTAAAATTGCAATACTAAGCTGGTCGCAAGGGTAACTAAACTGACTAAACTTGTAAACCATGCAATATTTTTTGGGTTGAAGAAGCTGGATTGAGATCCAACCCGAGAGAAGACAACCAGAGGCAAGTCTTGGGTTTGAATGACCATCGAGCTAGTAAGACTGTAACCGAAGACTTCGTAGTCATGGTTGCATGTAATGCACTTATGTCAACACCAAATCAATCCGAATCATGGCAATAGCTCAAAATCATTGACCTCCCAAAAAAAACATGACCACAAAGTTCTACCTCAGTTTTAAGCCACACATCCCCTGGGTGTCGCCTTATCAAGCAGCTGGGGCGGCACTTTCATGGGCTTCCGACATGGCATCAATGTAAGCACCAACCTGAGCACACGGTGATGTTCTCTCTGGAGTATGAAAAATCTTCCGGGAAAGCACATGGATTTCCATCGGAGTTTCACGTAAACTCGCCAGGAAACCTGTCGAGTTTCAAGCTGAAAAAAAGATCCAGTGATCCCCTCAATTTCCAGCTACCATTACAAGGCCACCAAGTTCCCTTCAGCAAACCTTCAGCCAAGCGCACTGGGCTGCCCTGGCCGCATCCTCTATAAATCCTTGAGGAAGCGTGGCCGCCATACCTTGGCGTACGAAGCTACGCAGGTGTCATCCTCTTTTGCTCTGGGAGTTGATCCCGAACCATGGGGATTTAAGCAACAAAATATAGGGTTATCATGGGATGTCATGGAGGGATATATACAGTGTATATATATATATATAATCAAATATGTACGTACATACATACATACATTACATTACATTACATTACATTACACTACACTACACTACACTACATTACATTACATTACACTACACTACACTACATTACATACATACATACATTACATACATTACATACGCTACATACATTACATACATTACATACATTACATACATTACATACATTACATACATTACATAACATGACATTACATTACATAACACGACATTACATTACATTACACTACATACATAACATAACATAACATAACATAACATTACATTACATTACATTACATACATTACATACATTACATACATACATACATACATACATACATACATACATACATACATACATACATACATACATACATACATACATACACACACACAGACATACATACATACATACATACATACATACATACATTACATACATTACATACATTACATACATTACATACATACATACATACATACATTACATTACATTACATGACATTACATTACATACATACATACATACATCACATAATTTAACAGAACATTACATTACATTACAATACATACCACCCATACATACATACATACATACATACATACATTACGTAATCTAACATAACATAACATTACATTACATTACATACCATCCATACATACATACACACATTACATACATTACATACATTACATACATTACATGCATTACATACATACATACATACATACATACCTACCTACCTACCTACCTACCTACATACATACATACATACATACACATATATATAAGTGATCTTAATTATATGTATATATACATACATATACATATATACATATATACATATATATATATACATATATATATATATACACACATATATATATAATATATATACATATATATGTATATTCACATGCATATATATATATATACATTAATATATATATATATATACATATACATATATAATCATATTTATATATACATACATAGTATATATACATAACTAAAAGGGTGATACTTGGGTGCATCTAAACATAGGTGTGTTCAGAGAAAACAACTTGATGGCAATGTTCCATCAAAAACGAGTGACAATTGTTCCATCAATTCACCGAATTTGTGAATACCCTAAGGTCACCTGTTTTCACCATCAGTCCTCCAAGAGTTGGATCTGAAAATAAGCTACCCCATTCCATCCGGTGAAAAAACGCCTCCTTTTCACATGAAAATTGCCAGTTTGGCTCCACCATTGTCAGACACACCCAGTAAATCTATACAGATATGTACAAATATCATATTGCTGGCTACATAATGTTACACACACATTTCTGTAAAAAAAAAATATACTATCCCATTCTACGCCACAGAAACCTTTGTTGAGTCTCGCACCATACACGCCAGCGGTGGAGTTGTACAGCTTGGGACTCTCCTTCACCCGTGCCACCGCGGCCTGGTGATTTCAGGGGATGGAACTGGATGGATTTTCTCAAAAATGCCAGTTTTTTGTGAACAGTATTATGAGATTATCGTCCAGCCACAGACTGAAATCAGCAAAATATGTTTTAATTCCCCACCTGCCAGGTGAGGGTTGTTAGATTTTATCAGAGCGCCTGCCCGCCTCCTCCTCCGCCTCCTCCTCCTCCTCGACTAGCTGTCCTCCTCGCCCTCCTCCTCGCCTCCGCCTCTTCCACCTCCACTTCCGCCTTGCCAACCTTGCCAACTCATCGCCAAGCTCTTCGCCAACTTCCCAGATCAGTGCGCACTGCTGGACGTCAACCTGCGAGCTGCCCAGCTCAGTGTGCACCGCTGGACCTCAACCTGCGAGCTGCCCAGCTCAGTGTGCACCGCTGGACCTCAACCTGCGGAATGCCCAGCTCAGTGTGCACCGCTGGACCTCAACCGGGGAGCTGCCCAGCTCAGTGTGCACCGCTGGACCTCAACCTGCGAGCTGCCCAGCTCAGTGTGCACCGCTGGACCTCAACCGGGGACCTGCCCAGCTCAGTGTGCACCGCTGGACCTCAACAGCCAGATAGAATGCCAGAAGATATGTCAGATCGAATGCCAGAAGATATGCCAGATAAAATGCCATGAGATATGCCAGATAGAATGCCAGAAGATATGCCAGATAAAATGCCAGAAGATATGCCAGAGGATATGCCAGATAGACTGCCAGATAGAATGCCAGAAGGTATGCCAGATAGAATGCCAGATAGAATGCCAGAAGATATGTCAGATAGAATGCCAGAAGATATGCCAGATAGAATGCCAGAAGATATGTCAGATAAATGCCAAAAGATATGCCAGATAGAATGCCAGAAGATTTGCCAGATAGAATGCCAGAAGATATGTCAGATAGAATGCCAGAAGATTTGCCAGTAAGAAAATGTATAAATGTCATGGTGGGGATCACACGAAGTAAAGTATTTTTTTTACCATTCCTGATATAACAGTTCAAAATCTCTTATGATCAAGCATTTTTCGGGATTTTGAACGCCTGATGGAAGATGATGGAACCCAGAAACTCCCAGCCTTCACATCTTTCACGAAGCTTTCAGCATGTTTGGCGGTCAAGAGGGTCCTTAAGCCACGAAAATACCCTCTCAACATCCATTCTGGCCATGGAAAAACAAACACCATTTTGGATGGAGCTTGAAGTGGGATCTTCTGTTTGATCCCCAGTACCGGAACTCCCCATTCGTTTTTCTCAACTCAACAGCTAAGGCTAAGGAGTTCACAACGCCAGGTGAACCGAAGGCGGATTCTGACACGTGGCGAGCTCCCAGCCGCTAAGCCTTGGGGATGACACGTCACCAACTGATGGGGTATTTCCATGTATTTCTGTATTTCCAGAAAAAAATCTGGGATGATCTTCATCAAGTTTCATCGATTATAACCCAAAGCTTTACCACTTCTATCCTCAGCGCTTGAGCCAAGTTGCTGCTTGAGGCAGTCTGCCACAGCGTAGCAGCTGAAACCTCCGATCTCGGGAGACTTGGGGGTTCTCTGGTTTCCACACCAGCCGGTACAAGTAAATGAGTGCAAATGATGGTACCCTCTGGTAAACTGTCACATAACTATGGGAAATCACCATGCTATTAATTGGAAAATCCACTATAAATGACCATTTTCAATAGCTATGTTAAATTACCAGAGGGTACATGGATGTTCATCTCCCAAAATGTGGATTTTTTTTTGGGTGGTGACCCAGCCCGCCAGCCGGGTCACAACGGGGTCACAACTTGACCAGCTTGACCCACGAATCCGCGACAAATGGCTCCCTGCCTGCACCCTTTTTAGTGTCGAAGGCCACCACGCAAACCTTGTCAAAGCCAGTGATTTTGACATATTTCGACAGCACCCATGGCTTGGGGCTATTGATACTGGTGGCCACTTCCCCAACTTCCTTGCTACCATGGTTGGGAAACTCTGATTTTAGCTCCAACTGGCTCCCCATGTTTTTCTGCGCCTCCGGCCGCCCCACTAGGCGAAGATCGTCAATCTGCTTGAGGCCTTCCCAGCTGGGATGATGTTCATTCCCCCAAAAAAGGTGCTATCATACGTTTGACCCATATCTCAATTGAAGTCTACAATCTCAAAGTGACACCTGAAACTTACTGGTCTTTCACAAAAGTTCGTCATTTTAAATAAGAATCTGGGCCTGTTTTTCAGCTCCATTTCCCTTGTTCCCATTGGATCGGGGGATGGATCGAGGGATGCTGAATCAGCTCCATCCCTGGAAGGTCGGGAATCTCTGAGACCCCTGGGCCTCTGGCTCTGAAGTTTCCACCCCTTAGGCCCACCGGGACGTCCCCCTGGCCTTCAGCGATGGTCCGGGTCGCTCCAACAATCTCACGAGTCGTCTGGACATAGCCATCTTCGCCAAACCTGAAACCAGGGATAACCAGGGGATGGAATGGGGTGCCAAAAATTTTCAGGGTCAAACCCACAGGGAATAAGATGGAGGTTAAGATCCATTGATCTAAAATCCTATCTAAATCACTGAAAATCCTCCTTTTTCCATCATGTTCCCATCACAAGATCATGAAAACCAATCAAAATCCTATCCAAATCAGTGAAAATCTGCATTCTTCCATCCTTTTTCCCATGGATTTTTGGCTCCCATCCACCCCAAACAAAACACATCCCCGGACCGATGCACCTCCGCATCGCAGCCCAGGTCGCAGCCACAGGGCCGCCGGGCCGGGAGCCTACCCTGGCAACGATATGTGGCTTGTCTATGCTTGTCTCATACTTGGTGGTTCATCCCACTTAGTAAGCGGGTTATAACCCCAGTTATAAGTGGATTAACCCTACTTATCCCATTTATAACTGGGGTTATAACCCACTTACTAAGTGGGATGAGCCACCAAGTAGGGGATGTGCCTAATCCGCAATTCACGCAACATCAACTTCATACCCAAAGGATCCCTTTGAGGTACAAGCATCACTTTGCCAACGTCTGGTAACCTTCTGAAATGTTTGATCAAGACAGCTTCATCAAGTAGCCAAGTGGATATCTACCAAAATGCCTACAAAAAAAGGAGAAACAACTGTGGATACATGGTTTTATAATATAATAAGTAGCCAAAACCTGGTTTAAAAAAAATATGGATATGACTTGATGGTCCCAAACATGTGTAAATTCCCTATTAAACCATGTTTTCTGGAGTGTTTTTTTTTCCGACTCAGGGCAGGACATGGTAGGAGTAGCATAGATACCACCACTCCAGTCAGTGAGGTAGCAGTACATGTACCGCCCTGCAGCGGTCTCTGGTTCAAACCCAGTTGTACCCTCTGGTGCTAGTGGTTATCCAGTGGTCATGGAATAATGGATATAAATGTTGTTGATTGTTATGACTGTATATATATATATATATATAATGGCTATTCATAGTTACTAATGGAATATGGAATTAGCCTCCGGTGTCCTTGCCCGCATTGCCCTTGCTGGGAAGTCTCCGAACTCTTAGAGAAGGCATTTTCAAAGGCAAATTATTGCACTGAATGCAGTGATTTTCCTGCAAGCCATGTGTGTAAAGGAAGCCCGTTCTGCCATGTCTGAAGTTTGCTGCATGATGGAATTGTACATGATGTTCTGCCAACATCTAGGCATGGGTCAAAGTCCTTGGGTAAACAACAATGGAATGCGTTGCAACACTAAAAATTGAAAAAAATACATGCCCGTTCATCAATCATATCTTCCATGTGTTCCAGGTAGCTTCCAAACTCCACAAACTGAAACAAACAATTGCTTGGGATGATTTCAGGGCCCCCACTACCATCATTCATGGTGGCTGTACTTTGCCCATAGGTATGAACCATGTCATATATCGTTGGTAAATATGTTGATGCATCGCATTAATGTTCCACTAGCAAAGCTCACGCCTCGTTAGGTACATATCCCCATGATATACATAAATGTCAATATAGCATCCCATTGATATTCCATTGATTATCGCCAGATATGTTCCCTCTAATATTAAACACCCCATAAAATAGATGGTCCCAAATATGTGGTGGTGTCCCCTACTAAACCATATAACTTTTTCGGGGTGTTTCATATGAATAGAAGAAAGGAATGGATTGTCTCCTCAATTTGCTGGCGGTGATATCCGAAAGTCTCTGGTTGCTCCCACGGCCGAGACCACGACGCAGCTCTTTGTTCGAGAACATGACCTTTTCACGGCTGGAGCACCAAGGCGGAAAAAGCTGACAAACACAAGCTGGGGTGCCCAACCACTGGGAATTCCCCCGCGAAATGTTCATGTGCATACAATTTATCTTCTGCATGCATAAATGCATTCAAATGATTATAAATGCCATTAAATGCCTGATAATTGTCAATGATATGCAAAAAATGCAAAAATATCTTAATCTGTGCAGTGGGCATCTGATGATAGAGGCGCCATGACTGAGTGCCAGGACAACAGAGCTTCCCTTCGGAGCGAAGCCATACTTGTGCGGATCGCAGGAAATGGACGTCACCTCAGCTCGACGTGGAAAGTGTTCTTGCACTAAGACAGGGATGGAAATAGATGGTTAAATGATGGTTAAACCATGGTTTTTACGTCATCTCATTTCCAGATGTTAATCATGATTGCTACAGTACTTCATTGCTGGTTGATGTTGCTTGATGCTGGTTGATGTTGGTTGATATTGTTTGTATATCATTATCCCATTCTCTTTGGCTTCATCAGCTCTCATTGGCGACAGAAAAGGTGAATCTTCATGGTTGTTGCTGAAACTCTGGGCTTTTTTCTCCAAGTATAGTATCTCCAAATCCCAATGGTTTCAGTGTCAATCCCTCCGTTCTTTGCTTCAATCGCTCCCTCGAGGATTCGAGGATCCTGCTCCAGGGACTCGAAAGTCAAAGGGCGGCAGCGGATAACCGGCCTTCCGCAGGGGTCGTCATCATCATCATCATCATCATCATCATCATCATCAAGCATCATCAAGCATCATGAATCGTCGTGAGTAAATGGTGACATGTCGAGAGGGTCAAAAAATGTCAAAAATCAAGTGCCATTTTATGGACCAACAATTCTTGTTCAGTTGTGAGGAGGCACCAGCCATTGGCGACGAATCATTTTGGCATAGCATTTATAGGTATTGATGGTTAATGATGGTTAATAATAATCTGGTTATTATATGGTTAATATTAATGGTTATTATATGGTTAATGATGGTTAATAAGTATATCTGGTTGGTGGTTGACCTACCCCTCTGAAAAATATGAGTTCGTCAATGGGAAGGATGACATCCCATATATGAAATGGAAAATAAAAAATGTTCCAGACCACCAACCAGTAATTCTATGGTTTTGCCTGAAAATAGGCTACCCTCAATTCCAATGGATTATCAATGGATTTTACGTATTATTTTCGTGATGGTCGTTTGGGTCCATTAATTCGGACAGACCCGATTTTTATTTTGCTCACATCCATTCCAAATACCCTCTGGCAATCAAGAATGGCTTGCTGGAAAATCCACCCAATGTTGGTCGAAGATTTTCCCATTCAAACCTTTCCTTCCTGTCATGTTTGATGACACTGAAGGGTAATGGACCATGAAAATCACCATTACTGTCCATGATCATCACCTTAATGACCCATTAAACTCCATTCAATCCCATTGAATACCATTGACTCCTCAGTCCATCCCCATTAAACTCAATCAAATTTCCATTAAATCCCAGTCAGTCGCGCCTTCTCCATAAATGGGACCAGGAAACCACCCAAGCAGCCTTGGAGTGTCCAAAAACCCCAATTTAGGGTCAATGGATTGGGAGGGAAAATCGAGACCGGAAACATCAGGAAACTATGGTGTTTTACCCGCTGGTAAACTACCCATCAGGAAATCATCATAAGTAAATCAACTATAAACGGACCATTTTCCATAGCTATGTTGGAACGTCAGGAAGCTAATCTGGTAAACCTGCCGTGAACCATCCCCGATTGGGGTTGATGATTGGGTATACCTCTATGAATAAAATGGTTTATAGCACCCAAATGGTTCGTGAATGGGATGGTGCCAATGGCTTACCACACGAATTATAGTGTTTACCTCCCAAAATACAAGCATCCAAGTGTTCTGTAGCTTTTCACTGAACTACAAAAGAGGATGACAAAGATCCAGGTTGACTTTGGAGGCTCTGTGCCGCAAGCAGTTTGCTTGAAGCACAGGTGTCCAGAAATGGGGTATACCCTGAAATAGCAATGTTAGTGGAGGCAAATCGTGATGAAGCCATGGATTTTGGTGTATCCCAGTGCTGGACAAACGAAGAAATGGCTGTCTTCACGCTGGCAGGCGGCAGTCGACATGAAGACCAATGTTCTTCTTCAGCGCAATCTGCAGGAGCCAGGCTCAAGTGGGGCCCCCAAAAAGAAAGCAAACAAGTAGGTTCTCGCCTTCGATAGGATAAGCATAAGCAGATCTCTGGTAATCCAATGTGGCGATTTTCCCCAAACTAAATGGAGCTTTGTAGCTGGGGAAATCATCGACATAAATGGGACATTTGCCAACAAGCCACGATCGGAGGATAGGTCTATCTGTATCCTTCTCACTCCAGTGGCAGAACTTCAAGACCTTCAAACTCTAATCTCTTCAAAAATCTCAGATTGGAAGGCCAGTTTCTTCATGGGATATTGACCCGTCACATGGCCAGTCTTAGATACCCTGCCAAAAGAAACACTGCCTGAGTAGTTAAGTATATCATATATATATATACATATAGATTATATTATATATATACATATAGATTATATATATACATAGATTATGTATATACATATAACTATGTACATATATATATATACATATATATATATATATATACACATATAATTATATATGTATATATCCCTATGATATGTAATATATTGTACAAAATCAAGCACATCTGTATGTACCCAGCATTTTTCCTCAAAAAATGCCTTGCCGCTCCGTGCCGCTCCTTGCCCATCTCTTGGATCGGATCGATAGTACCATGACAGTACTGGCAGCAAGAGCCTCAGTTTACAAAAAAACGTGGAACTTTTTGCTGGGGGAATGCATGGAATTCATGAATCAATTGGTGGGAGATATCCACTAGAAATATCTAGAAATCACTTTTTGATGATGTCTTCATGGTTTTTTCCATGGATATCCACTACTGGGACTGAAGCAACCGTGAGTGGGGGGTTTTAATGGGGATATGATGGAGATACAGCATATACCAACCATCATATAGTGGTGGTAGTTCAAGGAGATAACCATGTAATATAAACATTTGACAATCTCCCAACACTTCGACCAGGCATGCAACCAACCATGAGTGGAAGATCTGAAAAGTTGACACTTTTCCCCCCATGGACAGAAAGGAAGATCCTCCAATACCCTAATACCATCCATACAGTATATGGTTGAAGGGGAAATTAAACCAGGTTTGAAGGGAAACGCCGGACTGAACTGAAGCAATGAAGCAATCAAGGTCGTCTTGACCATCCGTTTCCAAAGTTACAAGTATGTATGATGAAGATTGATGAAGATTGATGAAGATTGATGAAGTGTGTGTTTTCCATCTTTTTTGGTTCTGTTTGCACCCACCAGGATCATAAAAACTGACCCAAAGTCCAGCCGCCCGCCTAGGCAGCCATTCGGCCACCCTTCGGTTCCCCCGGTTCCCCCGGTTCCGCTGAGTGCGTCACCCACAATGGCCACCGTGTTGCGGTCGATGAGTTGCTTCATGTGCTTCAGATCCATGGCCATGTCCCCATCGGGTCGGGCCTTCCTGACCTTGGCCGAGATTCCTGTGCCCCCATAGCTGTTGCGGGAAGATCAAAAAAGGGAAAACCCATGGGTCTTTACAGTTTTTACGGTCAACTTCTTGAGCTAAAGCCTGCAAAAAGGTCCCGAAACTAAGCCCTGGAAGGGGGGCAACTACTAACCGTGGCCAGTAAGGCATGGTGGACAAAGGCTGTGATGTCCCACAGGATGGTAGGTGGCCAGTCGCTTATCTTGGTGGTGATCCCCTGCGAAAACTTCAACTTCTAGCGATTCTAGCGGATATTATATGGTAAATCCATCGAATCCAAAAATAAAAAGTGTATGTGTGTTTTTATCAATCCATCCACCTATCGATAGTTGTTGCAAGAGATGTCGCCAATAGATGTGTGTGATGTTAGATTGGTGTTGTCTCAAGAATTGGCAACCGCCCCCAATCTCATGGTTTATCATGATTCTCCGATTCTCCCCTTAAAAATTGACATTTTGGGCCCCCATTTCCCATTTTGAGACACGCCCAAATATCATGTTCTTGATTGTACATCTCATTGTATCCCCCAAAATCACCCTTAATGGTTGGTGTCGTCCCCAGTACATCCACATTACATCCCCATTAGTGGTGGGTTTGCCACTCGATGGTCCCGGGGCTGTGACCTGAATCTTGAAGTACTTGCCAGCCTGACCAGATTGCCCCAGCTGATTTTAGACGTAGAGATTTGAGAGGAATCGGTGCTTCTCAAAAAAAAATGACGGGATGACTGGATAAAACATGAGAAGATATTTCACAAGTCATGGGGTTCTCAAAAAATCAGATTATCAGACGTAACTTAGTTCAAGATTCTTAAGACCCATCCCACCGGTGCTGACCTTGTCAAACGCGGCATGTGCCGTGGTGCAGATCACTATGTTGGGCTCCTGGGAAGACGCCGGAGAACCCCACTGTGTACGTGTCAAGAGTCCGGGCCCTTGAAAACACCTATTTGCGTTGCCATGAATAGTATGATAACCATCCATCTGACAGTGTTCATCATCTATTCATCCATCTTTTGGGGGTACAAATTTGACCATTCAGAGGTTTCCTGAGCCATGGGGATACCGATTTTACATCCAAACTTGGGCTATTTTCGTATTGAAACACATTTCTGACTTGGGGATCCCCCATTTTAAGAAAGCCCCATTGGTTGCTGACATTGTTTGGTACCCTCTGGTAAACATACAAAAAAACTATGGAAAATCACCATGTTTAATGGGAACATCCACTATAAATTGCCGTTTTCAATAGCTATGTTAGTTCACCAGAGGGTACCATCCATCATAGCACAGCCGAGGCGGAGCGGGTCCGTGATGCCCTTGGTTTCTTCTCCCCAGTCACGATGAGCTTTCATGGCCATCAGAATGCTCCTCGGATCTCATGTCATGTCAGGTTTCTACAGGGTGGTGCCCCCCAGGTTTCGTTGGCTTAAAGAACCCACTAGTTTGCTAAGTACCTCAGCCATAGACCATAGTTATCCATAGTTAAACTATGTTAAACTAGTTGTTGTTACCAACTTCGCTAGGTGGCATCACATTGTACAAGGATCCAACTGGTTTTTGTTCCCATCAACGGATGGCAAATCGCTATAGCACAAACGCTGGATGCCAGCCCCACCAGTATTCTTCGCCCGTGGGCTAATGAGAATCACTAGCTTCGAGGAAAATGTTGCAGGGAACTCTATCCATTTGCTGTAAATGTGAACAAAAAACAGTATTTGCTGGAAATATGTTCAACATGATGTGGAAAACTGGAAGTGACCTGTCGATTCTACAGCAAATTTAGAAGCCATGAACTCAGACTCTGAGATCCCAGCTCTGTACCGCCAGTGGTGAAGGACCCGCCTTGGTGGGTGCTGCGGCCATGGGTCACCCATATCGACCAGTCCGCAGTCCCGAGGAAGGGACAGGCATCAGGACCGCCATGGTACATGTTGATGACCATCTGCACCACCTCCGCTACCCCTTGATCCCAGTCGGAGAACGCTAAAATAAAAAATGCAACATATGGTAAAACAAGTGGTAAAACAATCAGGTACAAACGCCATGAATCCTCTTAATTTTGAGTCATGCATCAGCCAAATTTGGGAGCGGTTTTCTGGCTAAATCGGATGGCCCCAGCTGGACTGGTGGCAATAGACCATCGTTGGGTCATAGGAGCGGAAAAGACAAGCGCTCTGAAACCACCGACCATAGACTAGATAAACAAGATCTTGACAAAATGTACCCTCTGGTAATCATGGCTAGCTGGAAAATCCGGGAACTATATAAATGGAGGTTTTATAGCTGGAAAAACATCTAATGTGGATAAAACAATGCCATAAACCATCCCCAATTTCACCATAAATGGGTGGTATGTTTACCATTCCCAGTCATGGGTGATAAAAATGGCATTCTTTTACCCACATTAACCACTATTAACATCTATGAACCATTATTTTCATATCTTGTTAAGCACATTGATGATCATTCTTAACCACTAATAATCACCGTTAATGATCATTAACCATGTCGAAACAACCACTCCCCGCCTCGGAGTCCATCTGCCGCAAAGCCCTGGTTAGTCAGCTGGGAGTTCCATGTAATGAAATACTGCTTGGTTAGTACCCTCTGGTTATTTAACATAGCCATGGTATAGATGGCCCATAGAAATGGATGATTTTCCCAGCTAGAAACCTCCATTTATTTTTGGGATTTTCCATGGCTATGTTAAATAATCAGATGGTAAATCTTCCGATGGGTGAAAATCCCCAACCAGTATGCAGTAACCCCTTCCAGCAGTCTGGACTGCGCGTCTCGGATTTCGAGGCACGGATGAAGGTCGGGATGCAGAGGGTTGCAGAAAGCCCATCTGGAGAAGACTTGCCCCACAAAGTCGTAATGCCTCGAGCCGGCGAATTTTTGTTGGTGATCCCAGCCATGGAGTAGAGAGTAACCGTGGCTGGAATGGGAGACCCAAAAAAAGTTGAGGGATACATGGCTTGACTGTGACTTTCACTTATCTCTGGGTTGGTGTTTTTTGAAATCAACAGGAAACCCATTGGTTTTCCCCGACCAAGTCGTTGGTGTATTTCATGTGGATTTTCGCTCCTAACAATGCTGCGGTGAGGGCAAGAGTTCAACAGCAAAATTGATTGTGATATGTAAATATTATATACATCATATATTATATTAGATTGTATTATATTATATTGTATTATATTCATATCATATCATATTTTATCATATCATATATATATATCATATTGTATCATATCATATAAATTCATCATATGATATTATGTTAAGTTATACTAGATTATGTTGTTTTTTGCTATGTTATATTATATTATGATATATTATGTTATATTATATTATGTTGTATTATGCTATGTTATATGATATTATGTTATATTATATACTCGACTATTTTTGTTTCAATGTATCATTTCAGTAGCAAGTTATAACTCTTCAGGGGTCACTCTACACCCTAGTTACCCTAAGGATATGGAAAGCTCCCTAGATAAATTGCGGTGAATGCATGAGTTGTCCGCATCTGCGAGGTGGTGTCCCTCAATTATCTTTGTTGGTGTTTTTAGGCCCCATTTTCTAGGTCGTTGTACCTGCCATAAACCAACTTGGCTAAGTCGCAATTTTCAAGATCTCGCTTAAACCAAGTAACCACCATCATAATTTACTGCGAACCATACTGAACCTAGTGATCTCTGTTGGTTCACTGCTTCACCCTCCCAATTTTGCTGCTTCACCACCTGGTCGGATGGTAATGTGAAACAATCATGGGGTCCTTTAGTTGCTTGGAAGAGAGAATATACTATAGAAACATATAGAAACTGTACTGGTGAGTGCCTTATAATATGCCCCTGTTGCCCCTGTTGCCCCTGTTGCCCCTGTTGCCCCTGTTGATCCCTCTGAGGCTCAAGCTCCTGGCCGCCATGATAGACAGCACCAGTGATCTTGCCATTGATCCAATTCTTCGTGTCCTTCGCCCGCCAAAAAAAAAGGTGATAATGCTTAATAATGGTTAATGAATAGTTAATGAATGGCTAATGAATGGTTTATCAATGGTTAATGAATGGTTAATGAATGGTATCAATGGTAATGTGATAATAATGATAATAGTGATTAATTATGATTAATTAATAGTGATTAATAATGGTTAATAATGATAAGTCGTGGTGATCAATGGAATCAATGGTGATTCATTGTTGTTAATGGCTACATTCCCTCTGGGGATGTAAACGATGTAAACAGTTTGCTGTGGAAAAATGGTCGGTTTGGTTCGATGATTTACCTGTTGAGACTGGTGGGTTTCCATTGCAAACTCTAAAATTCGCAGAGGGTATCAATGCGTGGAGTGTTTTTTCGCTACTGTTGCTCTTCCTTTTCCAACCAGTTGATCATAGCACTTCAACAAGGAAGCATATATATATATATATATTATTATATATATATATTATATTATATATATATTATATTATATATATATTATATATTATATATTATATATATATATATTATATATATATATATATTCCACCCTGGAAGAGACATTGGATATATGTCTCCTCGATTTCACTCCTCTATTCCACTGTATCCATGGGTCAAGCTGTGAGACCTGGAGGACCTGTAAATACGTTGCTTCATTCTGAATGTGCTGCTGTAAATAGTGGTAGATCAACAGAGAAATCATCCCCAAGACGGCCATCATATCCATCCATATCCCAGCTGGAGGCCTGCTCCTTCCGCTGATCCATCAGCTTTAAGAGTTCCTGCTCGACCAGTTCCAGGGGTCACCATGGCTAAGACAACTGGCACAAAGGGGAAGGGCCCGGAATGGGTATGGCCTCAGAATGAGGCACACGAAAACGGTATAGTCGGTATAGGACCTGATGGACCTGAAGTAAAAAAAAATGCCATTGAGTCTGTTAAACATGGACCTGATGGACCTGTACCCAAATGGCTAGGCATCAGCTGGTACCCCGAACATCCAAACAATGAAGAGAATAGCCTTGGTCCTTGGTTGGCGCCTCTGGCAATTTTGGGGGTCCTGTAGTTTTGCCACGTTGTGGAAAAAAATGGGGTGCTGATGGTGGGATTCCCCTTGAATGACCATGTTTGGTTGTTAAATCTCTATGAAATCCCGGTGGTTGATGAGGATAGGGCAGCCACAGGGTTCATGGTTTCTCATTCTGTTCCCTCTTATATTAAATGACCATTGCATGGGTATGGACGATTTTCAAACACCACCAAATATCCTATTGGTGAGTTATATCAAGTTATATCCTAGAAAATATTCAAATTAAATATCCGTTTAAAGATGGTATTCCCATTAATAACCACATTTATAGATGATGTTCCCATTAAATCCCCGTTTATAGAAGGCTGCTTCACCAAAAAAAGTGGCCCCCAAACTCAGCGTCCTCTTTTTCCATGCCCTTGCTGGGCAGCGCCGTGCAGGGACTCGTCAAATCCTGGCTTTCATGGGTGGTATGGGAAGCTAAGCCCCACAGGTTGAGATATGGGGCCCCTATAACTATGGTGAGTTATATACAACCACCTGATGGAACTGCACCCCCAAGTGGTATATCTGGAGCATAACCATGGTAGCTGGGTCTTTTTACCATGATGACTTTCCGTAACTGGGATATATCAACCATGAAGAGAATCCCATCATCATGACCCGGGTATATAGCCATAGTTGTGGTCTCAAAATTGAAGGGGAAATGTACACGAAGCCACCCCAAGTGGTCAAAAAATGTGGTTCTTCCAGTTGATCAATCAGTTTGAGATCTGAGGAAAATTTGGGCTGATCCCAATGCGTTGGACATCGAAAACGACTGGAGTGTGCAAACATTGGGGGAACTGTCCTAGAACAGGGTGCCCCTAAAATCCATTGGTGAAGCATGATTTATCTCTTGTATTGGGAGTATACCCCATTTTCAGACAGACACATTCAAAGCCTCAAAACTCACGTTGTGTTTGAGGCGACTGAGTGACAACGGCAGCATGATAAACAGAGGTGTTAGTCTACGTAAATGTTCGCCGCTCCGCGACGACAATTTTAGCAACGCTGACTCTACTTTGTCGCATGAATTTGGTAGTCGTTTGGTGATAGTCTTGTGTGGTCACGAGTCACGGGGCACCACTCATGCTTGCACAGCCATCCAAACAAATACAAATCAAGTCACCAAGCAGTGAACATTGGGCAAGGCCACCAAGAACCTCTACTTCCACCTTCATCTATAGCAAGCCCCAAAAAAACAAACACGAGTTGAAAAAATTGAAAAAGCTCTAATATATGTATAATATATACATATTATATATATATATATATTAAAATCTATCAAAATATGGGAGGAACATCACCAAAAAACCATCCTTTTCCAAGACTTTTCGGCATCTTCACAGGCTCCAGCCGTGTCTGTACAAGTGCGTGCCTGGAGGATCCTGCCTTGTCCTGCTTGGTTTCAAGCCATCCCAAGGTCAGTTGGGTTTCATTGCCTTAGTCCTTAGGTGGGGATAGAATGTAAAAGTATATGTTGTATATATATATAATACACTGACAAACATATAATAAATGTATATATATATATGTATATATATATACATAGATAGATATAGATATGCATATGCATATTATACATATGTACATGAAACCACAAACCAGCAACTTTTGCCAGTATTTGCCAGTACTGTGAGGGCCAGATTCTCGAAACTCAAGCTACTTTCCCTTCCGAGGCTTCTGGAAAGGTCAATTTGTACATGGCACTGAAAGTCTCTTCCACGTCCTCCTTGTCTGCTTTAACAAAGGTGGTCTGTTTGGAGTCCACATCCGTAGGATCTGGGAGCAGCCACACAACCACTTCGGGTTCCCCGCCACGAACGGCTTCTGCAAAGGGTTTGCCCATGGCAGGAGATAGCAGCACGGCCGCATTACCGGGCAACGACTCTAAAAGCTTCTCACAAAGCTGTACGGCAATTGATGGGTCTGGCAAAGCCTGCATTGCCAATCGAACTTGCCCAAGTAGATCGCGGTGCATGCCACATGTGCGATGCTCATATTGGTCGCTGCTCAACAACCCTGACACCGACAATGCCATCGGACCCGATTTTCGACCTCTCTAGGACTGCCCTTGCGGGTCTGAGTTCAAAGGATTCGGGCACAAACTTGAAATGAGACCGGACCTACGGTGTTGCAGCTGCTTTGAACTCCCTGGAGCTTGCCATCAATTGGTCCATGAAACTGGGCTACAATGCTACAATCCCACCAAGCGGAGTACCCGAGTACCCGGTCCCATCAACATCATCAACCCATCCCTAATCGGCCTGAGAGAACTTGGCTCTCAGCTCAGTCATCGTTTTTTGCATTTCTTTGTCCAGCTTGGCACGGACCTTACCGAGGTTGTTGGAGGAAGTTGATCGGTTGATCCCACCTGATCGACTGTCATTCTGATGGCTGTAGGCCCTGTAGGTCATGTCATGTCACTGGCTTGGAAGATCTACACAAAACCACAGGGATATCTGGTCATCTTCCAGAAAACCCAGAGCAATTTCTGTTGGGAAAAGCATCAACGACCGGCGCCACCCCTTGAGGTCACCGCCATGGGAAGCATCTTGAGATACGGCGTCAGCAAGCCTGAGCTGCGGACATGTCACATAGAAACCTCATGTCATCACAGGAAAGGCATTGGGTTATGTTTTTGTCCATCCAAAGACAGGAGGATCGTGGAAATTGTTCCTGGACCTTCGAAGAAATGTCCATCTAAATGGTTTCCTGTAACGAAAATCAACCACCGCCTCAAGCCGTCTGAGGCGTCAGCGGAGAAGATAACTTCTCAAGCCTTCATACCTGGAGCCGAACAAGTGGCAATGCTCTGGAACTTTGAGGCAAAATGTGTGGGTCCTCTCAAACTGTCGTATGCACGGTGGATTAAATGGACTTGCATAGAACAAATCAAACAGCATAGACTCGGGCTAGAACCGAATGGAATAGCACAGAAACGAAATGAAAGAGTAATGAAATCAGGTAAGGAGTATCTAATCAAATCGATTATAGACTATTACTGATACTGATGGAATACCATGGAATACCCGGATAACATTACGGATAATACTAATCCCCACCTGGCTAGTTACAACATGTTACGACTCCGGCCTGAGGACGTATTGCAGTCGGCCCAGCAGCTTGGTCGCCAGCAAGAAGATGAAGACGGAGCGAAGAACCTGGTAGGGCCTCATTCGTAGATTCAGATGGTTCCATAAATGGTAAATCCTATTAAATGGTATATAAATCAACCATGGAAAAAAATATTTGTTTCCATAGTTGGGGGGGTTCTATCGTCATGGGGGTACCCCAAGCTAGCTGGATTGTTTATTTCATGGAAAATCCTATCCAAAAATAGATGATTTTCTCTGGGTACCTCTATTTTAGGAAACCCCCAGATGAAACAACGGATGAAGATCTGCAGGAAAACATCGGAAAATGATGGAAATCTGCAGGTTCAACCCATGTGTTTGTCAATTTTTTTTGCCAACGATTCTGTGTTTTTTCTGATCCAATTCTGGACAAAGTTCAAGAATTCAACAACCTGGAAGAAAGCTATTTGGGAGCGGTTCGCATTATTGCCCATCTTCTTTTGTGACATCTTTGTGATTTCATTGCAATTCAGTACATAGGGTTCCTGTAAAATTGTCCTTTGAAGCAATCCTAGGCCTTTAGGGTTTGCATTCGCAATGATGTGCCTTGCCAAAACACTGGGTTGGGGGGGTTTGCTTTTACCCAACCAAAAAAATAGGAATAACAGAGCCAATATATGAGAATTTGCCAAGAAGGTGGATTTCACCAACAAACATGCAGCTACAACGAAGCAAATTTCCATTGGAGGGACCCATCCGGATTTGCGAGCCACTGTCATCTCCAGCGACCCAGTAAAATGACTCAGCTGTTGTCTCTGAGCAATGAACTCCCTGCCATAAAAGAGCGTGTTCAGGGCCTCGGCACTCGAAAATCCACAACGACGAGTTGGGGGGGCCGACCAATTTCCAGAAGGAAACCATACCTGAAGACCCACAGTGGTGTCTATCCAATTCTGAACCCATGGAAAGAGATCGGTGGTAAGACTCCACAAAATGCAGTGCTTCAAGTCCTCTTCCGTCCACTCAAATGGTCCTTTTTCGCCGTGGTCCAGGCATGTTTGAACGGCCGCTCTATGGCATAGATCATGGCTGCGTGAGGGATGGTGAAAATTCTTTCAAGGTGCTGAGTGCCTGTTTCAGCTCTCTAGATGGTTGCCACCTATAGATAAACCATCAATCACATATATATATATATATATTATAATATATATATATATGATTATATATATATACATATGATTATATAGATGTATGTAGTATGTAGCCCTCAGTTGCTGGCCGTCTACGTCTTTGCTGTCTCATTCCGTATCAGGCCAAACGCGTCCTCTTCACTGTCAATTTCCAGGGGGTTGCTGTTGCTGTCTGTTGAGCCGTGGCGTGAATGGTCCATTTCATCGGGACCATTTTCAGGCACGGAAACCCACAAGGAGTTTCTCGCCAATCTTGCAAACTTCAACGTGTCACCCGAAAACATCACTGGCAACCGGCCAGAAATTCGCGGAAATCTGACAGTCTGACATCTATTGATCCCCCTAATAGTTGCATAAATAGCCCCAAGCAGAAACCCTCAAATGCATTGGATTCCATGTGGGGATGGGGATGACTTAGCTCCAGGACATGCCTCCACTGTCCCACATACTGATCTCCATCACCATGAGCGAAGGAGCCCATGCCAGTCCTGACAGGACTGGCCCCCTCCAATGGCAAATTCTCGTAGTGACTTGCCCATGGACGTCACCAGCTATACAGATATACTTTAACATACGTTACACATTGTGTCTATAAATGTTTCTGTATGATTCTGTGTATATATATATATGGATTATATAATTATATGTATAATGAATCATAGTGAAATGTATACTGAAATATCTTAAAACCCACAGTGGTTAAGCCGTGTTGAGCCCACATCATATCATCACAGATCTTCATCTCCGCATCGGCCCAGCTGAGGACCAAGCACTACGTTGTTCTTCCATTCTCCAACATACTCGGCACCTCACTGGCTTCCAATCTTCCCACTGAAAAAACGCCCTCATAGCTATGGGGAAAGTGAAGATTCACCACCATCCCGCACCATCATCCCTGGCCAAGGCAGAAAGTCGATCTTCAATGGATTTAAATGAAATTCTACGATTGGATGCATGCTATTTAAAACTTGCCACCAAGTTTTATTAGCTTTGAAGGAAACTGGTCAAAAGACTTAGCATGACTTTGCACAACTGGCCATAGACTCTTCCCACATGACTTCATCCAATTTGAAGCACCGTCTGGCCAAGTCTGTCGTCCAAAACCGTCACGGGCATTGCCAAGCCATTGCCTAAAAACAAAGGACTTTGACCCTGGCAAGTCTGGATGTTGCCAACAAAAATTTGGGAGTTCAAACACAAAAACCATATGGAACGACAAAGAACTAGTGATGGAAAACCCCCGCAAAAGTGGGTGATCTCCCGGACAAACATGCAGCCTAAGCAGAATTACACTCGCAAGGATGAGATCTCCAAAAGGACTCAAATGAAGAATTTGGGCCAATACATTCAATACATTCCTCTCATAGTTTTGCCCCTTGGTACAATAAGGATCTATAAGGGGCAAAGGTTGCGCCAAAATGGATCCAATATGCACCAAGGGTTTTTTGGTGGCGCAAGACTGATGACTGGTTCCCCAAAGCTGGTTGTCCCAATGAAACCACCGGAAATTCCACTCAGCTTGCAGGCAGTGATGCTTTGAGTTCACGGCCCATCATAAACGGCCCCTGTCTTGAAGACGTGCTTTTTCCTCGCGCGCCTCGGTGACCCATTCGGTTTCCCGAATATGGACCCCTTGGACTCAACAACAAAGTTCCTCAGCACATTGGGATGTGCTATTGGGGATTCCAATCAAACATGGCAATTCGATGGGTGTTCCCAGCAAAAAGAAACTCCATTTAGAGGGGATTATCCTTTGACATGGACTCATGGACCCAAAAAATCCTCTGGCTAAGCGAAGCACACCAAAGGACCTCCGCCAAAGTGCTGGATGTTCTGTAGCTCAGCAGCCTCAATGTTTTCATTGTCAAGCAGGACAGGGTACACTTTTTGGTTCTACGAAACAAAGAAACTTGATGCCTGCAGATGGGGCATCAACAATGGTACCCCAAGTCCACTGGCCCATCATAATTGTCCCTAGCACTATTGATGGTCATTTAGAATGGCAAATCCCCCATGTTCAGATACAAAAATCACTATGTTAATTATATCTCATATTATATCCCATCAAATATGCCGATTCATTGCTTGAATCACCTTTATTCATCATTTATTGATGATGTTCCAAGATTTTGAATCGCCATTTATTGATAGCTCATTATTCCCATCAACAACACTATCCCATTAAAAATCACGATTGTTCATTATATCACCATTTATTGATGATGTTCCATACACAACTCATTATTCACCATTTATTGATGATCTTCCAAAATTGTGAATCGCCATTTATTGATGTTCCATAATATGTTTCCCAATTCAAACCACTTTTCTTGAGACCCGCCGCCTCCCGGAGGAAATAGTTGGCCGCTAGAGACTCCACGACATCCTCACCCTCGGCCGACGTTGCTGTAGAAAACTCATTGGAGAACCATTGGATAACCATGGTGGATATATCATGATATATCTATAGTATTCAAGTAATATCTAGAGTTTATGGTGGGTATATCTATATTAGTATTCTGTGAGTATCTATACGTAGTTTCATGAGCTGAAAAAACTCAGGATTACAAGGGTCCCAAAAAAAACTTGGCAAACTGGCTTGAAATAAACATTATAACTGGGGCTCCCCACCTTGTAGATAGCTATTTTGGACTGATGGTAGATACATCTATATTAGTCTATAGTATCTATAGCATGGGCTTATGAACCAACAGAAATTGTGACAGAAGACCTGAAATTTATGGCTGTTTGAATGGGGAAATGATTCGATCAACCAGCGGATGGAATGGGGTACCCTGCCAGGCAAACCCATTTCTGAAAGAGCCTTCGACAGTGTGAAATAATGTATCATATACCAAGGACAGATGTCCGACAAGTTTTGAATATCCACCAAAATGATCCAAAATGAAGGACTTGGAAATTTTGGAAATTTTGGAAATGATGGGGAAATGATGGGATAATTGAATACCAAATTTGGATAAATTTGGGTGCTTTTATCCCAAGCTGAGGATTGCAGGCATAGTTGGGAGCGCCAGAGTCCAGGACAGGATCACCTTCGAAGGACCCTTGGAGGATCCATTGGTTCAGCCCAGCTGATGAGTAGCTGAGTAGCTTAATCGACTTAGTCCAGTCAGAATTGGGCTGAACCAATGAAGCCACAAAACATGGGTCACGTTTTTCGAACTAATCCATTCACTCTTGGAGACAAACATCATCAAGCATGTCTTGAAAAAATTGCTTGGTACACCATTGAATCTTGGGCCTTTGGGTCTTCCATGAGTTCTGAATCCAACAACACATGCAGATGCAAGTACTATACCCTGCCTCTCATTGGCTCAACACCTTGGTATTTGCCAAAGGCCAGACTCTTGAGACCTCTGCAGAGTCTTGAAACAGCCACTGGAGCATTGGTCCACCCTTGTCACTTGAGAATGACAAGTGATCCATTCAAAAAATGGCCAAACCTCTGCAGAAAACAAAGTACCTGAAGAAGTGCCAAAACTTCGTTGGGGTTTCAGGTGCTAGTAGATTTTGACCCAATTCACCCGCCATCCACCAGGGTCACGGCTAAGTCCCTTGGCACCTTGAACAGTCTGCCTGAGCGAAGCTTTGAAGCCATAGGGCCAGGGCCTAAGGTTCCTGACACCCACCATGTTGGATGGTCTGGTTGCTGGTTTGTAGCCCCTGGACAATGTCTATTAGTCCATTATGTAGGCATGTTCCTCAAGCATCCTCAGGCCATTCGGGATCATAGATGGTTCTGAGTCGAAACCCACCACTGGAAAATCCGCTCAACGCATCCAAGGATCTTCTCATCCTTCAAGCGAACAGAACTAGGCACCATGTCCTGGCTCATTTCTGGTAAAGCTATGGGAAGGCTCACAACACCGGCCTTCCACCAAAAATGGCATCCTTCCAAGACGCTAATTACAAAAGCGGAAGCTGAGGAAGCGAACAGAACTTCAGCCAAAATCTGGTAATCTTATGTAATCTTCACATTGATTCTGGCTGTATTTCATAGGTGTTAATCCTGGTACCCTCTGGTAATTTAACGTAACTATGGAAAATCACCATGTTTAATGGGAAAATCCACTATAAATGGCCATTTTCAATAGCTATTTTGACATAACCAGAGGGTAATCCATCCCCAAATGACCAAATGAAACAGGGGCCACCAGTGGCCACTCCAAATGACCAAATCGCAACTCTGCCAGCATTGCTGCACCATCCGTTTCGTTGGCTCCAGCGCCCTGGCGAAGTCGACCCGTTTTGAAGTCGACCAATGGATCTCTATGGTGTTTTCCTATGTCTCTATGGATGTCTATGGTGGTTTCCAATGATTTTGGAATATGTTGGATATCTATTTTTTCTCATTTCATGGGAAACGAAGACAGTGAAGACCAAATTGGTAGTTGAAAGGACCAAAAAGTTGGTCTTGCTGGCAACAAAAGTCGGGTACCCCGGGGTTTTCTACGATGGTAGCCGTTTTAAGTGAATAGATGATTCATATCCCGAAGTTGGTCAAAAAAAAAGTTGCCGAACAGAAGGGTCTCCAAAAAATATTGATCATTTTGATACATCTACATTTACATAGTAGATCACAGTAGCCTATATACATCTATATACTCTTAGCATCAAGGAGTCCAGTTTTGGGACCAATTTTGACCCCCAGCCGTCCCAGAATTCCCCCAGTGCCTTGGGAGTTCCAGACGTGTCGTACTGGTCTTTCCGTGAAGATCTGGGTCTCATTTCATTGTGCTGCACTGAAGAACCTGCGAAAGGAATCATTTCGGGATCCTTTTATGGGTGGATTCATGAATCAGTTCAATCATTTCCCAAGAACAAGTTCTCATTTAAGCCCAATGACGATGTTGAGATTTCCCCAAAATCAAGGCCGGTTTTTTTTTGCTTTTCGCAGGACTCCTGTTCCGCTGTTCCGTCATTGTGAGGGGCCCTGCTGATCGCATGAACTGGTGCCCCATTGATTGGTGCCCCATTGCTTCTGGGTTTCAGTAATCCTCAAGCCATGTTTGTTCCGCCCCCTCAAACAAATTGTCTTCAGTAGTAGTACTGGTCCCTTGTAGCCAGATTTCTTCATTACAATGTCCATCCAATTTCTACACCTATATTATTGATAAATCATGACGATAACTCCATTTAGATACATTCATGTATTCATCGTACAGTCCAAACCCAGTACAACCCAATTCATGCATTCATCACAACCCAGTTCTTTTCCCATGTCAGGAAACGTGTGTGTTTCTGAAAATTGCACTACCGCTTTTCACCCTCGGGGAATCCGCTTTTCCCAAAATGTCCGAGAAATGATGGTCCTTTGGGTCCCCCATGACTTTTTTCACGTGGCGCCCCAGTTCGGAATCGCTGTTGGTGGAATTTTTTGTAGGTCAACAGGATTTGATGATATTCTATGCCTGACATCGAAGTCATGGAAAAAATGGAAGAAAAAATCCACCAAGCATGGGAATCTCTCCATGAGGTCCAACTAATGGTACCATGGGCTCCAACTTTTCTGGTCCAACTGATCATGATTTTCGTTGAGCCACCGCTGCACCTCCCAGGCCACAGAAGGAATCTCCATGACAGACCGAGGCCTCACCGGCTGACAGGTTCAGACAGGTTGAAAAAAAGACGTTGAACCCAGTGGCGGATCGATGTTTCATGGTATAATTCCACTAAATCCCATGATTTCTTGATGAAATTCCAGGAATTCCCATTATCTGTTGGTTATTGTTGGTTGAATTCCACTCAGTCTCATTATTTCTTGGTTCAATTCCACTTTTAGATCCAGACATTTCAATTGTAATGACCGACCCTTCGAAGTTGACTCAAGAAGAATGTCCTGGCTATTTGAGCCCAATTCCCAAGTCATCAATGAGAAGGGTTCCCTGTCTTTTGTTTGGAAACCCTATAATTCTGGAAAGTAAGAGCTCAGAAGTGGACTACCTCAGCAGCTTTTGCAGCTGGAAAGTAAGACCCCAGAAGTTCCCATCTCGTGTCGAGCCCATGACTCCCATGGTGTTTCCACCGCTCGCGGCTCGGTGCGGGCTCGCTTTGTCAGCTACTGGCGCGTCGGGCTCACTGGCACTCGCTGGTGTTGGATCGGTGTTTGTGTGATTGGTACGTCATGGTGATGGTGATGGTGATGGTGATGGTGGTGGTGATGGTGATGATTGTCCTTCATGACTGGTGATTGGCGATTTGGGAAACTGGGGTGAGTGGTGACTGATGATTTATGATGGCTTCATGGTGAACTGTTCACTGAAAGAGCCGACAAGCATCCATCAAGAGCGAAGAAGATTCACATGCCATCATGAGTGTGGGTAAGTTCATCCAACTGTAAATTGTTGTTCACTCCAAAAATAGTTGGTACAGTAGTTATGACTGTTGATCTCCCCTTCATCCATAATAATAAGTCTTGACCCATTGACTGTATTGACTGTATAGTATACCAGTGATTAGCAAAACCAGCTGCTAGGTATCGTATCTTCGGTTTTGACCCCTTCCCATACACTGAAATCCTCTATTACCCTCTGGTAAACTAACATAGCTATGGAAAATCACAATTTTCAATGGGAAAATCCACTATAAATCACCATTTTCAATAGCTATGTTAAATTACCAGAGGGTATCAAGCTTACACACCGACTGATCCCGTGGTTTTTGTTTGGCGAAAGAAAAACCGCACAACTCAGCGCGCTTCGCTGGATGCCGACCTCGAACCTCGGAGAATGATGAAAAGAGTGGAATTTCCAGTGTCTAAAAAGAGGAATGGCAACAGGATTAAAACCCAGTTTTCTCAGTTTTAGCATCTGTGACATATCTGTGTTTTCCCAGTTTTCATAGTTTGAAAAACCCTCCAGTAAATTCACATAGCTATGGAAAATGGCCCCGTGGTGTATAGGCAAATGGTGATTTTCCAGTTCGCAAACTGTTGGTTTACCACAGAGGGTATTGGCCAATATTCCATCAAGATCCCATTAATCTTCAATTAGATCCCCTGCATATCCCATTAATGTCCAAATATCCCATCAACATAAATTAACAACCATCAAAAAATACTACTAGTAAAACTTGTACTACTTATACATTATGTAATATCCCACTCATTACCATTAACATACCGTATGTTAAACATACCTATATACATAACTTAAAAACAATCCCATGAATCCCAAGAAATCCCATATTAAATCCTATTAAATCCACGATAAATCATCATTAAATACATACACATAGATACATATATATATATATATATGTGGTGTGTATGTATGTGTATTTATATATATATTTATATATATATATATATTTATATATATATTTATATATATATATATATGGTGTGTATATATATATGGTGTATATATATATATGGTGTATATATATATATATGTGGTATATATATATGGTGTATATATATATATGGTGTATATATATATATATGGTGTGTATATATATATATATATATGGTGTATATATATATATATTGTGTATATATCTATAGGCTTCAAAGCTCACTCTTTTAACTCCGGCGTGTGGCTAGAAATTTCACCCTTGAGAGTAAACACCACGTCGTTTGATTGAGTTTTCAGCCTACTCTTCAAGAAGAAGTCCTATGTATATACATATACATATATACAGATACAGTATATGCATATATATATATATGTATGTATCCCATTCACTACTTAACATATACATAGATATGGTGGTTTCCCAAAATGGAGGTACCCCCAAATCATCCAAAAGTGGACCATGACTTAGTATTGAAACCCGTGGTGACTTGGGGATCCTTCATTTCAAAAAGCTCCACATATATATATAATTCTGAAGTAGATAGAATATTTTTTTTGAAAGATATTCCCATTTTACTACAATATTCTATCTATTCCAGGATGCTTATAAATGGATATCTATCCCATCTACTACAATAAAAATATATAAATGATTATAAATGGATATTTCATACAATCACCTATTGAATAAACTGGATACCTTCAATAAATGGATATCAGATATCAGAAGATATACAGCACACCCCTCAGCTGCTGGCTATCTTTCTGGCCCCACGACTTGGCTTGCTCCTGGAAAACGTATTGTACTATATAAAGGATGTATATAATTTAACCGCAACATGTTCAACATGCTAAAACTGGATAGTACAACAATATACAAAAATCCTCCAAGCTTTTGTGTGATCTTGCTGATTTTGAGGGATGCTTAGAGGTTATAGCACCTTTTAAGGTAAGGGAACCACTATTTAATATCACAATTTGCGCTATTGTTTTTATTGGAGATTCCTGCATAAAGAGGTTTGTCTCAAAACTGTGTACCACTGTACCACAAAAGCTGATGGTTTAGAAAATAATGCTCCCTATCATTATCATGTTCTGTTGTTGAGTTGTATCCCAAAACAAAAGGAAAACGGGACGTGTCCTCCAAACATACTGGTACTTACAGAGTTTCGTGATGAAAATTCTCCCCCACTTTGGAACCCGCTCTCAAAGAAAAGAACCTTACATATATATATATATACATATATATATATATTATTGTATATTGTATATTGTATATATGATTGTGTGTATATATATAGTATACTGTATTATGTGTAGATATATACCTTTGTCAAAAGTCTTCACCATTTTCCCGCACGGTGATGGCTCCTCCAGCTCCACCAAACCTGGGACTTCGCCAGGTTAAGATGGGAGCCGTCCATCAGGGGTCCAATGGGGATAATCCATTAGGTGACTGCCATTTCTGTCAGACTCCCATCGGAATATGTGGGAATTTATGGGAATATCTATGGTTAATATATGTTTATATATGGTTAATATATGACCTAAAAATTTAAGGTTGGTAATGCACTATTCATATTAATGGTTAATATTGATGGTTATTATATGATTAATGATGGTTAATAATAATCTGGTTGGTGGTATATACCTACCTGCCCCTCTGAAAAATGGAGTGAAAGTCAGTTGGGATGATGACATTCTCAACTGAATGGAAAAATAAAAAATGTTCCAAACCACCTACCAGAGAGGGTATGTTTCGAAGATTTTCTAACTTGGTAAAATATTGGAAAAATATTGGTATATTCCGATGTGGTCTTGCAGATCTTCATCCGTTGTTTCATCTGTAGGTTTCCTAAAATAGGGGTACCCGTAAATCACACTTTTTGATAGGATGTTCTGTAAACCATCCATTTTGGGCACGTCTATTTGTGGAAACCCCCATATATACAGATTGATATACTATAGATGATGTTTCCAGGATGTTAAGCACATCATGTTGCCTCCATATACTGTAGATGATGTGCCAAGTTATGTTAAACGACCACAGGGTAAACCCTTGGTAAAACCATGGCTTTAGATGCTGTTGCGAAAAATGAGGTGGATCTTTGGGATATTGATATAGACAAGAACTGCTGAGCAGTGCCCAAATCTTTCCGCCATCGCCACAGCTTCACGTCTGCCAACTGAAACATCTTTATTTAGACCCGTGAGATTTTGATCATTTTTAATCCAGAAACCCATTTCAGATCATCCACGTGAAGTTCAGAGGGGGGTTGGGAAGTAGGGGTGTGGGCGAACATGGATCTGGCGCCAACTCGTTTATGCCAGCGGACCAAAAACCGCGCTGGCGGTGGGGGTGGGGTGAGGTGGGGTAAGTTATTAACGTCCTTGGTCCCAAAAACTTCCAACTACGTTGCTAACTTGTCTAACAACTTCCGACTAAGTTAGTAACTTTGCTCACAACTTTCCACTTTGGTACCAACGTGTCTAACTTCCAACTACATTCTGCATGTTAAGTTACTAACTTGTCGACAACTTCCAACTACTTTCTATTGCAAATCTTGGAAGGAGGTACATCAACATCCCGGCGGAATTTTTACCGTCCGCATAATTAGCACAAATTCATGGTTTCGCCATAGCGAAACGTCAATTTTGATGCAAAAAAAGGGGTCTCCGAACTTGAGGGTTTAACTTTTCCATCGACAAGCCTCTCAGCGTTTTTTTTCTTCAAGAGGCCCGAAGTCGAATCAAGACAGTTGCTTGATGTACGCCGTATGTGTGGAAGTTGCAGAAGAACAAGCAGTGGCGTAGCATCACGTCTGTTTGGAAGTTGCAGAAGAACAAGCAGTGGCGTAGCATCACGTCTGTGTGGAAGTTGCAGAAGAACGGGCAGAGGCGTAGCATCACGTACTTGTGGAAGTGCCAATGAACGTTAACATCCCACCCCACCTCACCCCACCCCACCCCAACGTAGCATCACGTATGTGTGGAAGTTGCAGAAGAACAGGCAGTGGCGTAGCATCACGTCTGTGTGGAAGTTGCAGAAGAACGGGCAGTGGCGTAGCATCACGTATGTGTGGAAGTTGCAGAAGAACAAGCAGTGGCGTAGCATCACGTCCGTGTGGAAGTTGCAGAAGAACAAGCAGTGGCGTAGCATCACGTATGTGTGGAAGTGCAAATGAACGTTAACATCCCACCCCACCCCACCCCACCCCATCAAAATCTATGCGTTTTGCTGGACGGTAAAAATTCCGTCAGCATCAACATCCATACCAATTTGCAAAAGAAGACCATTGAACCTTGAAGCGCATCCTCTGAGAAAATATGCTTTTGCAGCGCAGCTGAATGGGCCGATGAAAATGAGCTGTCACTGCGGTAAAACGCAAAAAGACCTCAATTTTGTCGACCGTTTTTAGTGTCATCTGCTGTAAGGCTGTCTTTGCCAGAAACCTAGTGGCAGACGTGCTGGACGAAACAGGCCGAAAGCCATAAATATGGTTGAAGAAGGGCAGAAACATACTGGAGATTTGAATTGGCGTTTCGCCACAATTACAAGCTCATTTTGATAAAAAAAAGTGCTTAAGGCGAGCACGCTTTCCGGTCCGCCGGGTTGTGTATGAATTGGTAAAAATACCAAGGAAGCAAGCCTCTGAGAAAGGTCATATCGAGTATCACTTGCCGTACTTTCCCTAAGTCATGGGGTACCCAAAAAATATGCAAAAAGGGAATGGAGAAAGCCATAGTGAATATTTAGTGGGTGCATCACTATTAGTTGACAAGTCCCCAAAAAGTTGTTGCTTGCCACCTACTCGTTGACCCAGAATCATGAGCCATCTGTTGCTTTTGTTAGATAAGAAACACTAAAATGTCCTGAAAGTACCAGCAAATACTGGCTGAAATATGCTAAACTTAGGGGAATCTGGCTGAACTATAATCATTAAACAACAAGAAATAAAAATGAGTTTGGGGTGATTAAACAGTTCCATAATTACTTAATTACTTGACGTCGGCCATTGGCGTCGTTATAATTCTACCAGATTAATCCACAATCTTCATGGAACCCTGTTGTTGGGCTTGATGGGTTTGAGAACCAGAAACAAAGGGCATCGCAAGGCCGTATTTCGTGGGTGAATTTTGGAGGGTACGCGTGGCTTTCCGTCAAATCAACCCTTCGCTCAGCAATCATTTTAACTGTCACCACATTAGTCATCATAATCATCATAGATTACCACATCTTTCATTGACAAAATTGATCAGTGTTCACAAGCATTCAAACTCGTTGGTGAATCTGGATTCGGGGATTCCCCTTATGGATTGTGATACTCCCCAAGACATTTTTAGGAAAGTGTTTGATCTCCGAACTGTTTAGTAGCCACAAACCTCAATTATTTGATTTACCACAATTGTTGAAGATTCCAAACACCAGTAGTGTATAAATCATTATAAATCCCTATGACCATGGATGCATTATTTCCATCCCTGGACTGGGTATCGCCCACTAACTCCACCCGCCCCACAAAAAAAATCCCTCCAAGCCACGCGCGCGTTCTTCACGTGTCTGGTCTTCCAACTCAGCAATCCTTGCGGCATCCTGCGTTCGTTTCGCCATGTTTGTCGGTCAGGTGAAATACAGGGCTCTTCCAGGGTGGATAAAGACGTAATCCTAACAAAAATGCTGGAAATGAAAATCCGAGGAAAATGCTGGTAAACTGCTTTTCTATCTTTAGGGTGCTACTACACAGATAGCCCGCCATTTATGGATCATTTCCTAAGGAGAACTATGGATGTTCCACATCTATTAATCTATGTCAATTTCATCAGGCTTCAGCCAGTTCAGCCAACCACCCCTGGTAACCCCCCGTTTGTGGCTAAGATTCGCTTTGAAGAAGTCCCAACATTTTTGGAGCTTTCGCCGGAGCCATCATCGGCCGCTACAAAGCTACCGCAGCTTTGTAAGTGTTTCTTTAGCATAGTTCTCTAACTTTCGACCGGGTGAACAGAAGTTTGGATACCCACAGACTGAAACTTGGAATGCGTCATGGGGCAAACTCTCATTTTGGGGATAGAAAATAAGAGGACTGCATTCTGTTGAGGCCATCAAGAGACGCTCTTCCCAGCTCCATGGATCATCATGGATCCACGGTTTTCACCATGAAAAATACTCCGGTGTCCCATCATCTATAACTAGTTGGTTGACAGGATTCCCTAATATGGGTTGTAATATGTTGCAAGAATCCCCAATAACCAGGGAGTCTACTAACCAATGCCAAGGTATTGTTAATAGCTCAACTAACCAAGTAGTATGATGATATGGGAAACCTATCCCCAATAATCAGGGAGTATAAATCCTTACTATGGGGACTAATTATGAGGGATCATTTTAACCTATACAGTATGAGGGAAGTTGTAATCCACTAGGTCCCTCATTTAGTCCCAAGAACTCCAATAACTCTGGTCCACAATCACCCATCAACCATCATTTATCAACATTCAACTATATCCGACGATATCCCCATAGTATCGTGGCTCCAAAAGCCTATGAACACCAATGTGCTTTTCCATCCCCATAGTGATGGATATTTCACCAATCCGAGGACCAAACCCAGGCCAGTTGAGCTTCGGCTCGCTCGGCTTCCGCCTAGGGCCCACCCTCACAGAGTGGTGAATGGGCCACTTCGAAAGTATTGGTTATTAGTGGTTATTCAATAAAGGTAAAGGTTATAGTTATAACTTACAATGATATTGTAATGGTATGATAATGATGGCTATGTAATTATAACCATATAATAAGTCATGTTTATTAACTTACAAGATAACCATTAGTATAAGATTATGCATTTTAAACCATTAAGATCATTATAATAACCGAAAGATAATAATGGTTTATAACCATTAGTATATAACCTCTTCGAACTAATGGTTATTGAGCTTCCGACCAAGGCTTTCTCGGCCTGGCAGCGAAGTGGGACTGGTTTTTTCGGGGAACATCTTCGCCAGCAACAAATTGGAAACCAGTAAAAATGGGGAATCAACCAGCAAAAATGTGGATTTAACATGATTTAAACAGCAAAAATGTGGATTTGAACCAGCAGAAATGTGGATTTAATGGGATTAACCAAGGAAAATGGTGATAAAATGAGAACAATTAACCAACATTCAACAGATCTTCATCTGTGCCATGGTCAAGTTACTTGTTTTTTTTTCTTTGTGGTCATCCATCCCATAGTGGGAATCCCAACAGAATGGCGCCAGAAAATCCCTATGGAAAATGGATTGGTTATTCCTATCCCGCAAGGATCGGGTATGTAGTATACCATCGCAATTGACCATGGCACATCTGGTGAAGGGGTCAAAAATAAGGACAATGGCACATTCGTTGATCAAAATGGATCGTTTGCGGGATGTTTTTGCCTAAGCCATGACGACAAGTCGCTCATCTTTGTTGAATTAACCTGCCTTCAATTTGCCACCTGAAACTGAAACTGACCATTTTGTTGGCCAAAATATCTGGTCACCTTGTTCGTGAGCCAAAAAAATGGTGCAAAGCAATGTTCAATCCAGGTGTGCTCATGAAATCCAATTAAATGGCAGGTAGTCGCATGGCCCCATTCCAATCAATCTTTAGGAAATCTGGTATCGCGGTGGCGTAAAGCCTTAGCAGCGCATTTTTGGGGGATCAACAGTAATTGTAACATTTCATTGTTGGATATAGGACATATGTACATATACACACATATTATGTATATATATATATACACATATGTAACATATATATGTATATGTAGTGATTATTTACTTACTTATTCATTTATCTATTTGTTTATGAATGAATGTATTTATTTGTTCTCTGCTCATGGAAATCAACCACACCACATTGGTGTCGCCTCCTGCTCATCCTGCAAGCGCTGTTCCTCCGAGATTGCTGCAGCCACTAAGGAGGCCTGCCACGCTTGGAAGTCACCCCAGATCATACTGTGGATGGAAGAATGTCTGCACCAGTTGGTAGATGGTTTATCCCGTTATAATCCGATTATTTACAGTGCTTCATTGTTACCAATAGTTTCCAAGTGGTGCAGGATTTCTTTCATCCACAGTATCACCATTTATTGGCGCCATTCAATATGGTCTTTTTGGGAAAAATCTTGCGGGGCCAGTTTGGTATACTATTCATTGTCACCTGTTGCTGCATGTGTAGAACCCTCTGTTGATTAACCGGTGGGAAAAGGACATTGATGCAAAGATTTTTTAGTCATAACCATTGATAACCATGATGAAAATATTCATCACTGGAAACCCTCCAGTATGGAAAATCCTCAGATGAACCCTAGCAGCCTCAAGTAAATTGACGGAGATATGGAAAGCCCTCAGTTTAACTTACGTAGTTTCCTTAGGACATCATCTAGAAATGGTGGATTCCCTTTTTGGATCCCTCTGGTAATCAACATGGCTGGAAAAGGTCCCCTTGTTTTTTGATGATGATGTTCCCAGGAATAGATGAAAATTTAGTTCAGGCATTTCCCAGAAAAAAATGGTAAAACAGGGGAACTGAGACAAGACAGGTTGGAGGTCAGGTGGGAGGCTGTTATGTTTTTGTTCAATGTTGTAAATCTAAATGTTTGACTGTTTCTTTCTGTTAATCTTGCTAAATGTTTCGTCGGAGTTGTTTGATTAATGTTTGGTTTGGATGAGGGTAGGGTATGTTGAGGTTGTTGTGGTTTTACTGTATGAGATAGTGTCCATTAATGTTCATTTGATGCTTGATGCTTTCTTCGTGTCGTTTCATTGTATATTTTCTTACTTCACATTTACAAATTGGACATTCCAACGTTTCTTTCTTTTTATCACTTAATTCTTCCTTTGTCCTTTCGTAGTAATGTTGAGCATATTGTTTTAAAGTTTCTTTGTGCTGTTCCCTGTATCTGCGTTTGTTTTCGAAACATTTATTACACTGCTTACATTCATTTGTGTAGTAATCTAACGGTTGAAAGCCTTTACATTTAGAACACTGCTTTTTGTCAGTCATTATACCTCTACAATTTTAAGGGGTTATGTCTTTAAGGGGTTTTTAGGGTGGATTACATCATAATATATTTTATTAAGATATTATGAACTAATCGTTAGGTTTAGTGTCTCCACTTTTCATCACCACTACCTATTCCATCCCAACATTGAGAAACAATCGTTTTGATGTTGTAGAACACCAAAATGATTGTGTCTCTATCAAGTCCTCGTTGGTCAATCAAGTATCCCAACACTGACAATAGTGTATAATAGTTTTGTTGTAATGCTGTCATTCCTCCTCTACGGTGTATCCTCTCACCGTGTTTTTGATTAAATTTTTATCAAATATGTTTTCATAAATTTCTTTCATAAGGTCGTGGTTTATCTCTCCATACTCTGCGTATTGCTCTAAAGATTGTTTTTGCTTAAGTAATAGGTCATATTCTATTAAGTTATATATAATCAGGATAAGGATTTTCTTTTATGAAATTCATTAATTTTGCTCTATCTTTTTTTAGTTCCTCTTCACTAACTCCAATCATTGGCATGTTTCACTTACTATATATTATAGGTATTTTTTCTTTAAGTATCTATCACTTTTTGTAGGTGTTCTTTTATTTCATCTTGATTAATGTAATGTTCATAGTGTTTGAATAATTCTTTAGTATATTCACGCAAGAAAAGTTTGAATAGGTCTTTTAGTCTGAAATCTATATTTCTAAATTCATAATAACGGTTTAAGCTAGGAAACATCCAATTTTTTTTTATTGTTTTTGTATTGTGAAGGTCTTCAAGCATTTGATATGTATGTCCCAAGTTTTTCTTTACATAAGATTTAGTCGTTTGATGAAATATGCCTTTCTTCAGTGTAGGATTTTTCATCAATATGTTTATTTTTCTTCTCATTTGTCGGTCATTCACATTATCAGACAAATCTATTGGCGATGCTTCCATCCTTGTTTTAAAGACATATATTTGTTTTTCTGCTACTGGATTGATTTCTTTATCTTCAAAGTAGTCTTGATTGTATGTTATATATTTATACTCCTTTTCTCTCAAGTCTTTACATTTTGAACAGTGAAGATTATAACTACATATCTCATCACAAATTCCAGCCGGAAAAATGTTGTTCAATAAACCTTAATGTCAGTCATTTCTTTCTTACAACATCCGCAGTTTTTATAAGTAAATAGCATCCTCTTACTATATATAGTCATTTTTTCTTTAAGTACTTTTTGGGGGCTCGTTCAGTTTTCGGGTTCGGGTTGGTTTTTGTTTTCCCTTTCCTCCTCTTCCAGTTCCTTTATAACCATATCAATTTCACTCATTCCTTCATTGGGGTTCTCCTCGTCGCTCTCTGGGAGATACCCCATGGGTCCTGCCTCTGCCACCTTGAGGAGATAGTCCTTCACTTCCTGGTCATCCAATTTCCTTTGAATTGGTTTCACCCTCTCCTTGTACCACTGCTCAACCTGCTTGATGACCGCATCCGCACCTTTCTGACCTTCTCTGGAGACGTTTCGCAGTATCAAGTCCAAGGCGCGCAAGTTTCCCCCCACGCGGATGTAGTAGTGCTTCAATTCAACACCTCCTCTATCTCATCGTCGGCAAGAACCTTGTTCAGCGTCCGGAAGTCGTTTCCCTGCTTTGCCACCTCCTTGACCACAGATGTGAAGTCTTCAAAAGGCAGCGGTCGCACCACAACCCAATCTGACATGTCAAACCTTTCAGTGATGATGTCGGCCACGGCAGACACGCTGACCTCCAAAATGAACTTGCACGCGGCATTGTCGTAGGTGATGTTGCGAGCGAAGGCACCGAGGGTGGAAGCAATGTCATCACAGGCATCCCTACGAAATTTGTCTCCGCGGCTTTTGGTTGTGAGTTGCAGGTATACCACGACGGCACTGCCTGTTCGGCGCTTGCACATCTCGTTCACCTTTTCCAGCATATACTCCACTTGTTCTGGGTAGTATCGCGGCAAATTTACTGCTTGCAATGCTTTGGGCAGCGCTTCATTGAGTTTCAAGTCCTCACCAGGACGGTTTGACATCTTGAGCGGGAGCACCCTTTTGCCATTCTTCACATGCTCACACATGAGATTGTTCAGCATGGTTGATTTCCCAATGCCTTGGGAACCACTGACCACCAAGAAGGAAGGGGTGCTCAAAGCTTTACGTTGAGGTGAATTGATGAAGTCCTTGATGAATTCCTCCTCGACCGGCCGTGCAGGGGCGGGCTCTGTCCTTTCCAGCCTTTGCCCAGCCTTCCTCACTGCCCTGTTCATGAAGAAGCCAGGAAGGAAACTTTGAATGAGAGCTTGGAGAACCAGCACTACGACGCTCCCTGTGCTCAACAAAGTCCAACCAGTTTTAACGGTCTGCGCCGGAAAAGCCCTTGCGGGCTGTGTTCGTGCATGACCGCTTGGAAGGACGAACCGGCCTGGCGCAAGCTCAACCTGCCTCACAAAGATGCATCTGCGGAATGTCGAAGGAAAGGGACAATACATCGGTTCAGACAATTTGTGCCAAACTGGCTTTGGTATTGAAGGATGCTTGATATGCAAAACCAAACAGGAACCACAGCGCCTAACCTCAATCAATACATGAATTTGAAGCAAATCATTCGACATCTTTGAACAACAGCTTGGTAGAGTTTGAACCTGAACCTACACATAGAAACTCTGACCACCTCAACAATTATCCCCTTCATTCAATCCAAACAATGAAGTATACTATTCCCCAGAACCCCCACAGGAAAAAACATCAAAACCAACGAACATGAACACCAACATAAAATCATAGCACCCAAGCATTAGTACAGCAACCTCAACAAAACATTTAGCAGGATAATCAAAAAGAAATAGTTAAACATTTCAGATTACAAGATTGAACAAAAACATAACAGCCTCCCACCTAACCTCCAACCTGTCCTGTCCTAGTTTCCCTGTTTTACCATTTTTTCCCAGCCATGTTTGACTTCCTGAGGCTATACTCCCCAAACAAAAAATGCTGGTCTAGTATTGGATCTGTTTTTATTCGGGAAAAATATCTATAAACTATAAATACTATAGGAAAAATATCTATAAACTATCTATAAACTAGAAATATCATGAAATATCTAGTAGTGATGTTCTTTTTGCAAGAAAACTCTGCAAAGGGATTAGCCCCCTTTTTACGGATGTTGACCCTTCCAATTCGACAAACAAAGCCTCCGAGGGGATCAGGCATAAGCCCAGGATCACGGCAACGGTAATGACCAGGCGTCCCTGAGGCCTCGAATTCAATGGTCAAAGGTCAAGATTTCTTGGAAAATCTTGGAAAATTGGATAAATTATGATATATGTCACTTAAATGTCACTTAAATGTCTACAAAGTTCTTAAAAAGTTCTTGGAATGGATGGTTTCTGTCTACAAAGATCACTTCAATTTCTGGACGGATAATGTATGATGCCTTGTCGAGATGTTCACCTGCCATAGTCTGGATCGTGTGGGGCTGTGTATCTGCAAGTATTGCCTGTGCAGTAACTGATGTATGTAAATCACTTTTTACACTTTTTCAGTGTGAGAAGATACTGTTCATCCACCAAACTGTCGCCTGAAACAAGGTTCTCCCAACCATCACTACCAGGAAGCAATCCAACAAGCTCAGAAATATGGTTGTCCAACACTGGAGTATACCCATCTCAAACCGGATCCAAAATGTCAGCGAGCTGATACAACACCCTTCTCAAGCATCCAAAAGCAGCAGCTCGTCCTTCCTTTTTTCGGAAAATCCCCTGGATCTTCGGATTTCCCACGGCCAACAGCACCCCTTTTGCGCCCCCAAGCCCCCCGAGTCATTTGCGTCCGCACGTCATTGGAGCGATGTCGCCGAAGCCCACGGTGGAGAGCGCGATGGTGCTGAAGTAAAAGGAGGAGAAGATGTCGCCGAACCTCGGCTTTTTTACGCCGTTGCTTCATCTGGTTCAATCATGGGGTACCAAGAGAACCATCCAGAACCATCCAGTATCATACCTTCTATGGGGCCCAAGAAGACCCTATTTCTTGGCTTCATTTGGGTGTTCAGGGTGGGGTGTGAATTTTTGAGTGGTATGCTATCGATAGAATATGGTTTGGATTCATGAAGACCTAAAAAGTAAGGTGGAAAAAAATCAAATAAACTGCCGATGGGGGAAAAGGGTTACACATGAAAACCATTAAGAACCTGCTGTGTGGTCTTCCAGATGTTCGGGGCATCGACGTCCATACTACCAGCTATTCTGATGTGAAACTGTGAAACCCACACTTTCTTTCAGATTTTTTCGGACCCATCAACATAGCCAAAGAATTACCGCTGCTGATGCTCATTGGAATCATTTAGGCACCTCCAACATAGCTTGTAAGTGGATGTTGTAATTGGTTCAAAGGTACCAGCATTGTTGGAAAAACTTGATGAATATTGACGAGGGTATTTCCTGGTCAGTTGGGTGATGTTGGGTGTGGGTCAATTCACCCAACAGTACCCTTGTGTTCACAAAATAGCTGCTAGCTATTTATAATCATTGAACGTCTTGTGATAACGTCATTCACAATTCTCCAGTAAGTCTCAATATTTGTTGGCTAAATCCCCATGAATCAAACATAATCCCCCCATGGTATCCCCATATGTGTTGCTTAAATCCCCGTATCTATTTCAAGTACTTTTCCCGTAAAAGCAAGACAACATGAAAGGCATGGGCTATGGGTTTACAAAAAAAAAACTGTTGGGTCCCAAAATAGGGTGTAGTCGGTATTACGTAAAATCCCACTCCAATAGTGATAATTTAAAAATTGGGGTTATATGGGGTTTACTGTGACTGTACCCTCTGGTAAACTAACATAACTATGGAAAATCACAATTTCTAATGGGAAAATCCATGATAAATGGCAATATTCAATAGCTATTTGTATGTTTACCAGAGGGCATCCCATTAAATCACTATAAAAGCCATTAAATCACTATAAAATGCCATTAAGTCACTATAAAATGCCATTAAATCACTATAAAATGCCATTAAATCACTATAAAATGCCATTAAATCACTCTATAAAATGCCATTAAATCACTATAAAATGCCATTAAATCACTATAAAATGCCATTAAATCACTATAAAATGCCATTAAATCACTATAAAATGCCATTAAATCAGTATAAAATGCCATTAAATCACTATAAAATGCCATTAAATCACTATAAAATGCCATTAAATCACTATAAAATGCCATTAAATCACTATAAAATGCCATTAAATCACTATAAAATGCCATTAAATCACTATAAAATCTCATTAAATCACTATAAAATCCCATTAAATCACTATAAAATCCCATTAAATCACTATAAAATGCCATTAAAAAAACCGATGTTCTATCATCAAACGGCCAGGACCTTTCCCGGGGCGCAGGCTGAGGATTCACCACTTGCTCGGCCTCGTAGAATAGCCTGTGCTTGAAGAGACTTGAAGGGGAAGCAGAACAGGAAACCATAATAGTGTTCAATGGGATTCTTATATCATATATATATATGTATATATATATGTGTATATGTATATTTTTTTTCACTCTGGCACACAGATGCAATAACGCGGCGGCCAAGCATGTCAATTCGCAAATGGTGAGAAGCCAGTCAGCCACCCTGTGCAAAGTCAGGTCCAATATAGTCCCCTTGAAAGTCTTGTTGCATGTCAATGCAACGTGCCAAAAACTCTGAATCAATCTGTACGTCATCAGAGGCAGCACAACTGACTGCGTTGAACGTCGCCTGTGCTAACGCTCCGCAAAACGCAGGGGGGTACTCTTTCAATTGGGCCGTACAAAACTGACCAGAGGCGTCACGCCCAATGTTCGCACGCTTCGGAACATCCGGGGTGACACGCCACTGAGTGATGGCTGCTGGCAAAGTGGGAAGATTGAGAGACAGTAGCTCAGTGGGCTTCATACTGTCAGCTCCTAGCAACCCTTGCGACAAGCAGAGTCTCTGCATGCCCGGAAGACCTAAGAGAACCTGCACTATTGGCAGCTTCCAAATGGACGGCATGCTCTCATCATCTGGTTCCGCAGGATGTTCAAGAATGCCAGCCCGAGCTTGTAGAGCTAGTTCACCAAGCGCTAGCAAGCAGAAGCCCAGCAAGACGTTCCCGTCAATGACTTGGTCGAGCTCTCTGAGTCCCAATGATGGCAATCCCCATAAGTCGTGTGCAGATCGCACAGGGCGCGGACCGCGACGACCTTGATGTGCAGGAATCGGCTCCTCCGCAAGGTCAACAGCACGGGCTTTAGACCATGTGCAGCAGGGCGGCCCTCCAAGGAACGCATGGACCCAGCCACTGCGGATTCCATGCAACCAGTACTGCTGTATGTCATGGCGGGACAGGTCGCCAAACTTCTCATCGATAATGATGTCGAGGGACACGACGTGAAGAGTGATGCCTTCAACCGAAGACATAAGCTGCTCCAGATACCACTGGTAGTCACCAACACGGCGACGGCCAGCGAAAGCATGTAAGACCACACGTTCCCTGCCGACAGGCAGCGGAATGCTCTGCGCAGTCCAGACATCACAGGCTCCAATCGCACGAAAACACCACTCTGTGTAATGGGTCAAATCATCAACAGGTCTGGTGACATCTCGATAGTCATCTCGCAAAAATGGCCAGTGTTCAGCATCAAGCAGATTATCCACAGCCCTGTAAACAGTGTGCTGTGAAACTCCAGTGATCGTAACAAGTTCCTCACCAAAACCTTCACGAAATGCACGAAGTGTCTGCTGGCATCTGGTCCATGAAATTGCAAATTCTTGGATGGTCTCTTCCATAATCCGTTGGAGAGATGCAACATCAAGCTCCGATCGGAGGCGATCCATCCAGAGATCAATGAGGTCAGTGTGTTCAGGATCAGGGTCGACCGGTGCACGGGCCGGTAGAACTGGTCCTTGAGCTTGTAGTGGCGGAACAAGGCCGTCATGCGCACGTTGCTCTTGCTGCTGTTCAATGGAGCCAATCCCAGCTTGAATATCACTCTGGAATCTCCTGGCATGTAGTGCTCCACGACAGGCACTGCAACGCTGCAGATGCTGCTGTAATTTGCTGCGTGTATGGTACTCTCGCAGGCAGTGGGCACATTGCGTGCCATGACACAAATTCCTGACACTCGCAACAACTGCATGACACTTGAAAAAGTGAGCCCCTTCACCTCCACGGCTGGCACATCTCTTTTGGCAAAGCATACATCCAAACTTCATGGGCGCATCAAAAGCCGCGGCATAGGAAGGAGCATCAGCACAATTACGTCCATGTTGCTGCAGGCTAGCAAAGAGATCTCGATGAATTTGGCCAACAATCTGGCGATTTCTACGCTGTTGAATCGCATGTGCAGTGGCCCGGTTCACCAGCCTCTTCCAGTATCGGGGATGATACCGCAGAATGTACTCCCATGCACCAAAATGACCTCGAGGGTCCTGAAGGCCACTGCTATGTTGAAGTTGCGTCCAAAGCCATCCACAATCATCTTCTACAAGACGCAGCCAGGCCGTGTCCTGATTGATGATGCCCCAGTCCATGGAGTCAGCACCATGGTACAAGGTGCCGAGGTATCGAAGACGAGCACGTCTCAGAACTTCAGTCGGGCTTGGTGTCATACTGCGCGTCAAAATCTCATCATCAGAAAGGTGCTGATCATGTGCAACGTTGAGAAGGCGTCTATACAGCCGAATAAGACCAGCATGCACAGCAGCTTTGCTCTGTTTGTCTGGAAGCACCCACGTTTCACTGCCATAGTTCAGCCCACTCATGACAAGAGAGTCAAAAAGCTGTCCACGTGTTCGTTGATCAATGTGCTTGTTGCAAAACAGCACCCGTCGATGACGTGTGAAAGTCTGATGTGCGGCAGCAATGCGTTGCTTGGCCTCAAACTTCAAATTTCCTGTGTGATGAACAACGCCTCCGAGGTGCTTGTATCTGCCAGTCACTCTCACGGAGAAACATTGGTGTTCACCGATGGCAGTGAACAAGTTGGAGCTGTTGGGCCCATGGAACTGTTGCTGCCAATAACGAGAGCGTGGCCCTCGAAGTGTGAGCATCACTTCTGTCTTGCCAACAGCAGTGTTGGGCGTCATGGCATGACCGAGACATGTATCCATCAAGGTGGACGTCATGATCCCAATTCTGTGCACAAGCTCATCTGCAGTGGAACCTGAAAGGCATATCGCCAAGTCGTCCATCCAACATGGCCCAAGGTAGGCTTTGGGCATCTCATCGGTGGGTCGGTTGTGGCCAAACAATGCACATCCATCCACAGCCTGGACATAATCCAAGATCTGAAAATGGCTGAGATCAGCCTCAATCTGGCGCAGAACCTTAGCCCATAGATAGCCAAAAATGGTGTCAGCAAAGCAATCACCTGGTCTGCTGCCAACTGATGTCCGGCAGACATCATCTTGACCTTCCACATAGAACCACGTGTCACTATGCAGCGCTGTCAAATAGTTGCGAACATGGTGTGGGAGTCCAGCAGCAGCGACAGCATTGGGGGCACGCAGGTGCTCATAGAGATCTGCAAGGGCTCCAGCAGGCAGACGTAATCTCTGTGCAAGACAGGCAATCTCTGCATCAGTCCATGGAGCATGCAAAGTAAGTGGGCGCAGGATGCGATAGAACGCTTCCTTAAGGTCAAGGTATAAAATACCACACGAGCGTCCACATTGGTGTTGGTGTCGCATGAAGGAGCGCAAGTGATGCAAGCCCAGGGTGACCGGAGTCCCTCTTCTCCCTCCAATCTGTTGGTTCTGCATGAATCGCTCGTACAGCTCTGTCTGGTGTTGTCTGAGCGACCTGTGCAGCACTTTGCCTTGATGTGACGAAATCAGAAGACTCCGATATGACTCGCAAAGATCAGTCGGACCTTTGCCTTTGTGTGCTTGCACAAGTTGGCCCCCTTTATGGATGGCTGCTTCTTGCCCGTGTAGGGCTAGTTTGAGCAATTGTGAATATGACAAGCGGGCAAGCTCCGCAGCATTGTGGGCACAAGCTTCTGGTGGGACTTGGTCATGGCCAATTGCTTTGCCCGTGCGTACTCTTGCAAACGCCCGTTCTAGATCACATAGTGTCGGAAGGTCTTGAAGGCGTAGGTGGAATGCATCTTGACAAAACTGTTGGAGATTTTGTCGCCATTGATGTCGATGGTCATCAACAGACATCCTGGTGCCACCCTCCATTGCACCAAAAAATTCCACCCAGCGATCAACCATTTCATGTGGGCTGGCACATACTTGACCATCCTCCTTTCGCACAAGCGGCAGGGATCTGCGTTTGAACTTCTTCGGGTTTGTGGGTCCAACAACCCTCTGCACCTCCTTCAGGACAGCAGAAGCAGCTGTATTTGGAGGCAAATGTTTCAAACGATCTGCAAGGAAAACATGTTTGTTTCTCTTGAGGAGCGTCCGCATGTATCTCGTCACCATAAACCGATTGGCAGCCAATTTGACTTCAATGCAGCGAAGAGTGGTTCGATAATTGAAGGCTAGGGCACCATCGTGTGAGGACATCTGTCCTCGCCACGTTCTCCAACATTGGAAAAGCGATTCCAGTTTGAGCCTTCGGTGTAATCCTCGAAGTGACTTGCTCAGGTGCAGCTTGTCCTGACGCAATGTCCAAATCGTAGGATCAATGTATGGCTTTTTACTGCAAGCCTTCTTGTGCGGATGCAGTGAAGCAAGAGCCGACATCAGATTCTGGGTGTACTCAGCAACATGAGTCTCAATGTCGTCATCCCAGTCATTGACAGGCTGCTTACAAAGCATTGGAGTAAGACTACCACGCTGCAAAGCTTGCCGATCATAAGACAGTCTCCTCCGTGAGCTCCCACTTGCTGAGACTTGCTTCCAAGCCATCCATGACAGCTGTGTGGCAGACACCAGATGATCAAGCTGGGTCGTGCCCAGGTCAAAGTCAGGCAGCACACATGAGAAAGTGCAGTATGGTAGGAGGTCGCAGGGCACAACAACGTAGTCAATACGACACTCATGTCTACATCAGGAGAAAACCACGTCGCACTGGATCCCTGATGAACTGGATGTGAAGCAGGCAGGCAAAGATCATGTGAGAAAAGGAAATCTCGCATCAAATTTGTATTGACGGTCACTTCATCATCATGATCACCAACATGCGGAAAAGCTCGTGGGCCAGTCGCCGCATTGGCATCAAGCATGCAAAAGACAATCTCTTTGCTTGTGAGCTTGCTTTGCCCCAAAGTTTGCGAAAACTGGGTCCACCAATCCTCACGCTCAGAGCGAGGACAGCCACTTTGAGGCCCATGCGCAACAACCAAAAGGCCCATCATCAAGGGATGTTGAACTCGGACAATGAGAACACGCGGTTTGGCATGAACTACCACGAAGTCTTGTCGCTTCAGGTACTGCGGCTCATTGTCGAGAAATCCAACAGGGCA